ATTAACAGAAATATATGCGTTTTACCATCACCAATTAAACCAAGTGGATCTCTTTCAAGATAAGCCAAGTGCGTGCTTCAATTCGACCAAATGTAAAACCTAAATGAAACAAACTGCGCAGCCAAGCATGGCATGTAATTCTATAAAACTGTTCGGATTTAGCCAAGCTGAAATAAAATGTAACTGTTTGGAGCGATTTTTTGATTTGCTTGCGGAAACATTTTTATTGTGAAGTTGACTGAAATTTCATTGATGGTAGTTTAGGTACGTCTAGAATACGAAGACTTGATACCGTTTTAATCGGCGAGGGTTGATTAAGCGAGTCGACAAGGCGAAAGCCTGAATCGTAACTAGGTCTGCAGTACTTCCAGCTTAATTAAGCTCGTTATTTTCGAAAATATCGGCTCTCTTTTAGGAAGAAGGAAACGGTGCTAAGACTAATTAGTCAATTACGCGATTAGCCTAAGTTTGTGGATATCTTTAATTAAATTACTCGAAATGTCTACAAAAAGTCGGGCTCCACGTAGCCGACAAGTACACTTGTACATGCGGCACTATTGAAGAGGAACTGGTTTTTTTATTGTAACATTATTATATTATGTGCAGATGAAAGGCCATTATTCTCTTGGGAATGAGAATACTTCCTTTCTGTGGTAGCATCTAAGGTGCAACCAGTATGGGAATATCACAATGCTGCTGTATAAATACTCTCTGATAACGACAATCATAATTTATGCTCGGATGTGCCTGTTTTAAATAAATTTGCAAACCGAATACCACAGGAAACGATAATACCGGCCGCACGAAAACGCTAATTGATCCGTTTCCTATAAAATTCCAGAGGAAGCAGGAATGGATCCGAAGTTGCGGGAAACGTTCCAATTACAATAAACTGAAGATTAATGAAACGTTGGAATTCGAATACTAATCACTGTAAACCATTTTAACGAGAACATGTGCATAATTACAATTTATCATATCGAAGAATTTCGAAGCGAGTGAACCGATTTGCCTGCACTTTTGTGAAGAAAGCGCAAAATTTCGCCGATTTAACGGAACGTTATTTTCTTGTAAAACGGTAAATCGCATGCAAAAAGCTATTTACCATTTATTTCAACAGCAAGTGCAGAAAGGCCATTGTGTTCAGCTTCCTTTCCCATTTGTTAAATATGGAAATTGTATCAAGAGCCAGAACCTCATATGAGTCATTAAGATTTTTTGAAATTTATGACTGTTACAAATAACAATTAAGGAAAGATGTACGATATTAATGTTTTAATTCGAGTCGCTAACACAAGTGCAAAATTGTTTTGCTGGACTTGTAATGTAATTTTACTCAGTAACAACTATCGCTTTAAGGTAATTAGAGAAGAGAAAGGTGTCCGCCATTAAATCCGAAAGTTATTAAAAGCTTTCGTGATTGATCGTGTCGAGAAAAAAATAAGTGTGTATTTCCTAGAGCGGTTGGGAGGAGTCCGTCTTGTCTCTAATTTATTATTTAGTTAAGCACAAATAGAATTTTAGTTTTAGTTAGGAAAAAAAAAACAAAATCTCTATTCTCTGATTATGGTCATTATGACGATATACCTCCGTGATTTTTCTAGTTCTGTTAAAAATAATAATTGCGTCGTAATGCTTAAAAAGTAACTTTGTGACTGATGCTCTTAGGGTAATGAACTTTTATAAAAACATTAAAATGTGGTTTTAGTTCCGCTAGGCTATTTTACCAGGACCGTATTCACCATAAAATCTCATTAGAGCTGCACGTTTTCAAATAAAAGAATAAGCATATTGAAACTTTCTCAGAAACCTTAAACGAAGCTTGCATAAGATTTGGGATTGTGATGGTCGCGATTACCACATAAAAATGGTGCTTTTTCCTCACAATAACATTCCAGATTGACGACAAATAGTAAGAGATTTTTCAGCAGTCGTGAAAAATTTTACGATGACAACAAAAAAACAAGCAACAAAAAAAATAATAGTGGAAAAATAAAAAAATTGTTGGCTGTTTGGCCATAACTGTCAAGCAGCATGAACAAAATTGTTACATCATCAAAACGAGGAATCAGTTCCATTACGTCCATTCAAGCGTAAAAATTTTTCTCAAGAGGAATTCTTCAAACGATAAAACGATTTGTGCTTACAATCTGATATAGCTACTCGTGTCTATGTTTATGTTTTCAATTTTTTAATTTGTCTCAGGTTGGGTGTAAAAGTGGTAAAATACATTTAACATAAAATTATAGTGTTTTGTCATGATCCTGACCATGAAGCACAACTCCGGGGAAGTTGTTTAATTAACTCATGAAATTGAAAAATATGCCATATAAACCAAGTTCAGGGTTTGAAATATTTCCAAATAATCAATGATTATCTTTTACAATTATTTTGGGAATATGGCAATTAAATATGAGCACAGTGATTACTAAACTTTTAATTAAATTTAACAAGGCATAAATAATAAAATACAAAAGAGGTGTTTTCTCAGGAAATGTTTAACGTTCCATTAAATTAAAACTATACTTGATCCTGGTCACTTTGTTTGTTTTTTTTGAATAGACATCAAGGTACTTGATGCAAATTAATGATATCACTCATCCTGTATTATTTAGTGATGAGTGTTGACGTATAGCAGTGGATGGATCCGGTTTTCATGCAAGGATACGTCGAATGAYCCGCTTATTTTTGCAACAGCAGCTTTATTTCCAGGAAGAAGCTGTAAGACTACGAATGCAGGTAAGCTTCCCGATATCAGCTTTTAGAAAATATCCTTTTAAGAAAGCAGGTAGCTAAGAGCCACTCACTAAGATCAGCCCACACTCAAGCTCATTATTGACTGCAGGATGAGAGTTAAATGAATGGTAAATGATTATAATGTAGTAATGATTTTATCTGTAAATAATGGAGTCGCCGGGAGGTTACTTCGTTATAGTACAGTATGTACATACAGCAGTAATACTTTTGTTATGTGAAGAGGTAATTTTGAGCGAAGAGGAATATCAGAATTCCTGCGTATGTAATTTGAATAAAGCTTCGACCAATGATTTTAATTTCTTGATTGTATAATTAAAAACTTAAATAAAAAATTCCATCCATTAGGGAAAAAATTATAACTTCCGCTTAAACCTACTGTTTTACGATGGTGATGTCATTGCGAATTTATTGTTAAGTTCTATTTATAAATTGCTAAAAATCTACCTGCAAAAATGTAATTATTACAGATTTTAGAAATATATTATTTGAATATTGCTCGACCTCGAAAATGCTTAAAAGACTCATTTGCATGCTGAAATAGGCATTATAATTTGTGCAAAATTTATAGCTTTTTTTTAAATTTATTAAAGTTTCGATTTAAACATTTTCTTCGTGTAGGCATGTAAAATTAATATTGCCCGCATATTTTACAGATAACAAAAATTAGACTTTCCAATGGAAAAATAAATAAACAGTTACTACTAGAACAAAGTGTTGTTCTTTATTGTTCGGAGAATAATCACTGATTTGTTAATAAAATTTCATAACTTTAAAAGTAAATATTTCATACCTTTGTGCTTTAGTTATTTAAAATTAATTGTTCCTTAAAAAATTTGCTAACAAATTAATTATTTAATTTTCATTTTCCTGCTCCTAATGTAAAAACGTTTAAAATTGCGTGTTTTGTTTAAGTCACGAATCAGAACAGTTAAATCGTAACAAAGGAAGGAATTCTCGGGTTATAATTGCTAGTTTTTCTTTAATTCATTATCAACAATGTTAATCTTTCATTATTTTCTTAAACTTTCAGCTTATTTAATACAATAAGCAGGTGCATTACGATATAATTGCCATCCTTGGTTTCCCAAGCGCGACTCCCCTTTTTCTCATTCAAAAGGGGGTGCTCAACTTAATTGAATTCCTTTGCTGTCTTTCTAAGATTTGAAAAAAAATACACAAACGGAAAAACCCTTGTAATTTGTGATTATTAAGACCTTCGTGTRTCAAAGCTCCAGCATGATGATGGTGATTTAATTGAGGTGATGCTGAGAATTCCCGGGAAATGCTGGGGACATGCCAAAGTGTACTTTAGGGATTTGCAGAATTAAAAGTCCATGATCTAGGAAATTACGTTTAGTGCAATTGTCACGTGTAATGAGGTAGTCAGGGGAGATACGCTCTGTTGAGCCGTAAGGAGCAATGTCTTGAGTTTAGATCCTATCTGGTACACGCACCACTGATAGAGCGTCTTAACTTCCATAATTCCACTACAGAACAATCTGGCAGACTCATCAGGCAGGTGCTTTTTTTTCAATCGGGTAATCACTGACTATTTTCATCAAAATAATTTTGAATTACTTTTTGTTTACACATTTCGGAGAAGGAGCTTTGTGTTAGTCAATTCCTTCAAAAAGCTCGCAAAAAGATAAAAACTGAGCAAGTAAAGTATAAAATTAATATTAATTTCTAATAAAAAATAAATTGATTATGAATTGATGATGAAATTTTAGATTTATGTTAGCTTTTCCAATGTTCTAATTGAAAACTGAAACTGAAGAAAAAACAAAGGAAAGCACACTTCCTTGTATTTCTTTTTTGTCTTAATTGTTCCGCAATTTTGTACACATCGCACTATTTAGCTGCTTATCCGCTTTTTCACTTATGTGTTTAATAGGGTGAAAAGGCTATTTGTAAGAGTTTTCAAAATGCAAGGATATTTTAGAGACAGTAATTTATTGGTTGCTTTTGGTGTTCTTAAATTCAAATACTTATGTATTGTAACTGCATTCTAAAATCATCTGTCTTTTCTTGAGAGAAGAGAAAAATCTTATGGGATTTTGCTTTTCTATGAACAAAAAAAAAACAATTTTGATAAACCTCCATATTTTTTATTTTTTCTAATAGAAATTGATACAGTTATGTAACTTGAAATTTTATGACTACGTTATTTAATAAATCGCAGTTGTAAAAACAGTTAACTTGTTTTGTGCGTAGAAAGGCGTTTATGAACAAAAATAAATAAATCACTGTACTAAAAAAGTAATGTATTAGAGAAATTTACAACTCAAGGAATTATGGAATTATGCAATAAATGCCTTGCTGACATGACAACCACGAGAGCTATTTATCTTTACGTTCATTCAACAGAGAATTGTGTAGCTTTGAAACTTCATTTTCTACAATTTCATGTACTACACTACCATTGACGTCCACAAAATTTGCAACACTCTTCTTTAAGCTTGTCTCTCTGAAAGCCCCAGTTTTACCATCTTTAAATGTAAGAACTAGTTTATATTTATCATCATATCTAAAATAAATAGTAAATAATTATATACTTTGTTTTAATTAAATAAAACCCACTTTTTTAAATATGAGCTAGCTTCCCATATGTTATCATTTTTCTGCCCATCCTTCTTCTGCACACAAACCGCGAAAATACCCTTTTCTACATACATGGTGTACAACGTTAAAATGCCCATCATTGTGAAATAAGTGCCGACACAAAATATTAATACAGGCCTAAGAAAACCGCATTAAGTATTTACAAAGCGATGAATTACTTAAGATTCTTACTTAGAAAGTGGAAAAGGATATAAGTAATCCCAAAGTAAAGCGAACATGGCAACTCCGACTGCAATACTACAAATTACAAGGCGCCCATCCATCAATTTAAAATTTTCTACATAATGATACTTTTTAGTAAGTACCTATAAAATCGTAATTACAACAATGAACTGAAATTAGCGAAAATCATACTTCTTTTACTGCATCATCGATGGCGTTTTTTACTGCTGAACCGTCCCATTTATTTATTTTAACAGGCTGCAATAAGAGTAAGGTTATGAAATGAATTTAACAATTTATTTTCATATTTAAATAAAAAAAATGTTTACTTATTTGAACTGTACCTTATCATCCTTTTCTTTATTTTCTTTTGGAGCCATATTTTTAATTATATTATTAAATTTTTTATATGCTGTTGTCGTGTCTTGTTTTTGAGACACGTCAAACAATATGCGATATGCGATGCGTCAGAATGTCAAAAAATGTATGTTGCGCAGTCGAGAATAATGGATACCAAGAATAGACGCGTCCGAGAATTCTCCTAGGATTACCAACCAACCTTTGGTTATTTCAATTTAAAGGTAAAAATTTATTTATTTTTATTCTACAAAAGATGTTTAAAATGCTCTCTATTTACTTCCTGGAAATAAAAAATTGTTAGACAAAATATTGAGCTACTGTATCCGTACTTATAATGACAGTGATTTTTGTCGGCACGTTGGCTACAAATTTAAAATTTTAATTTATAAAAAATTATTATAATTCACGAGATGGCCAATTCAGTGTTGCCAAAATATTTTTTGTCACAATCATTTAGAGTTATTATTAGATATTTCGATTTCCCGTGGTGAAAACTTAAAAAAACGACAAAAAAATCACCTTAAAAAATAGTTTACTTGATTGAATAAAAAGTTTTAATGTTTATTAAGTTGTAAAATATTTTAATTAAAAAAAAGATACTTTTTGTAAAGAAATTTAATCATCTTCAAGCATTCCTAATAAATTAATACAATAAATTTGCATTCTTAGGAAATAAAGGCTAAATAACAAAAATTGTAAAGCAAGTGATTTTAGGGTTTTGACTGCTCATCAGAAGTTCCAGCCTCATCTTCACCTACAGCTTCAGCTTCTTTCTTTTTGGCATCAGGAATCCAAAGTCCAGCAGCAACACATCTCTTCATGTGATAATTGGCTTCTTCTTCATCCATTTCCTTTATTGTGTCTTGCAACATTTGAATGTCTTGTGTTTCAAAACATTTCCTTAATTTTTCTGGAAGACTTTCTAAAACCTCAAGCTGATCTAAGCCTCCTGGCCCTATTCTTGCTTTTCTCTCTTCCTCCTCAGCTTCTTTTATGGCTTCTTCAATTTTTTCAGCTGCACGTCGTCTAATTCTGTCTTTAAACTGGTCTAATTCATCATCAAACGATTTTTTGTACGAAGGATCAGCTATTTGTATTTTTGAGAAGAATGGGTCCACGCATCCACGAGGGTCATAATCTAATTGTTTGGCTAATTCCAGAATGTACTGCATGCAGATGGTCTGATGGGCTACATGTTCCATTAGGTCATGTTTCTAAATAAAAGAAGAATTAGTGATAACTGCTGACAAATGTATTATTAAAACGTACCTCTTCCATTTCTAAATTGATGCACCATATAACAAGATAATTAGCTGTATCTTCACAAACCAATTCTAGATGTTCCCTGAGAAATGCACGAGAGTCCTCATAACGTCTCAACATGCCAAAATGTTTTAAATTCTTCTCATTTTCTTTAACAAAATTTTTCATGCGACTTTCTTTTTCTTCATCTGTTAATTGTTCATCCTTCGGTCTAGGAGCTTTCTTATTAATAACAGTCTTTGCAAAACCTGGTTGACTAATTGTGTCCACGTTCCAAGGAGCCATCTGTAAATAATAAGATAAATATTTTATAAGCACTAAGAAATTCATGCAAACTTTTTCTTTCTTCTCATGTTCTTCCTGTTTCTTCCTGATCGCTTCCACTTCCTTCTCCAACGCTGCTAGAGAATCTTTAAGTTCCTTCAAATTCGCATCTCCAGCCTTCTCAGCTTCCGCCAACTTCTCTTTGGCTTGTGACACCTTTCGCTGAGTTTCCTCTTTTTTCTTCTTAATTTCTTCCGCTTCTTTCTTCATTTCTTCCATGCGTTCAACTCTGGCCTGATGCCTCCAACGGAACAGTGAAGGTGTGTCGATGTTTGGATGAGTCTCATCTTCATCATCAGAAATCTGAAAAGAAGCTGTTTCTAACCTCAATTCTTTAATTTTTTTTGGAGGCTTCATACCTCAATATTCTTCCACTTGCTGTAATCCACCATGACGATGAATGCAAAAATTTAGATTTTTCTAATAAAATGCAACAATAAAACACTTGCACTTTTGAAATAAACAAACGTCACTCTTGAGTTTCTCCGCCCTCTGTTTTGTTTTCGCGAAAAGTCGACACACTGGAGGATCATGGGAAATATCTACAGAGTGATCAAAATTCCAGAAAATTCTCCAACAGTACAATCTTTAAGTTCTATTTTTAATTCGTAGGAAATTTAATAAGAAAGATAAAAATGTATTCTAAGATTTTTATTCTAAAAACAATGAAACAATTTATAATCTTAATCTTAGTGATTTTTCCATACAACTATTTCAAGTAATAAAATATATGACAGAATATTTGGCAATGAAAAAGTTTTTTTGATGTTGATTGGTCAATAAATACCATAGATAAATACGTTTTTGCTTTGTATCCCTGACTACCACCAGAAAGTTTTTTTTTTTAATTTCATGGCCAACTGCTCGCTGAAAATCTTACATTAATTAGTACGAGTCGCTTAATTCCTATTCAAAAACTTGATATTTCCGTTTGATTTTCCTTAGTTAGTAATAAATGGAAAACGTTTTGTGGAACGGTAACTTCTTCTCCACAATTTCCTTATTATGTTCGCGTCTAAAGTCCCATAAGAAATGGTCAATTAAAATCGCGTTTATTTTCTTATCAGTAAGTTTTTTGTTGGCGTGTTCTTTTAACAATTCCACTGCATGTATCGAACAAGCTCTAATTTCCACTTCATCTTCTTCCCCGTTTTCAAGAATTTTGTTATCTTGCAATTTCTTCTTCAAATCCTCACTGTATTCAAACACACCAAAGTATAACAGTGTTTGTGGAATTCTGTAATCTGCGAACATCGTTATTTCATCAATATCCTTAAAATGGCCAATTCCTTCGTTATGGAAACACGCCCAAATGTCGCCAATTAAAATTTGCGCTCTCTTGTAAATCGCAATTTTCTTGTCTTTGTAAGTAGCTTCGTCTTTAAAGCATTTGAAATTGTTAACGATCAAATCCAAGAGAGTTGCAGCGCTGTTGTCAGCTTTTTTGACGCAATTTTCAAAGGAACCATCAAAATTTTCAAGAAGGACGTTTCCAACTTCATGCAAGCATTTGACACGTTCTTGGAGGAGGGGAATTGGGACATCATTGTCGCTTCTGAATATTTTCGCGAGGTCTTTTTCTGAGACTTCAGAGTAATATTTCGGATTTAAGATATCCACTTTTTCTTTTAAGGCTCTATTAATAGCCGCACAAAGTGCAAAATACCCAGTGTAGCCCTCCACAGTCCATCCAGTTTCAGTTTCTAGATGCCAGAAGCAAAAATTCAAAGTGTCAACAACAAATAACCAGTCAAGAGCTTTTGGATCATCTGATTTTGGATGTAGTTTAACTTGACTGAAATTCTCACTGGACAGTTTCCCGCTTTCAATCTCGCTCACCAGCTAAAGTTAAAAATGTGAACATGTGCGTTTTTATTCGGAATGCGGCTTACCAAGTCCCCCAGTTTTTTAACACCATCGTCTTTGATTTTAACGTTTTTGCCAAGTGAAGCAACGAACTTTCCAGATTCACGAGGTGATAATGCCATTTTTGATAATGTTAGCTTTAATGCTGAAGCCTCAGGCTGAAACTTGTAAAATCGCCGGTCGTTAAAAATTTAGAAGAGGAAGTAAATAGGGATTTTTGTTTTTCGGTTATTGCAATGGATGTACTGCGAAAATCAACAATAATGATGTAAAATAATATTCACGGAAAAAATTAAAAAGATAAATAAAAGATAATAAAATACAAAAACTTACAAAACACTTTATTTGAAAAAATATTTTCAAAATCTTTTAGATAAAAAAATAAAAGCGCATCCATTTGTAAAGCACCACATGTGCAGAAGATATAAAAACATTTTTATTAAAAAAAAATTAAAATTGTAATTGCATGTAACTTTAAGCAAAAACATTGAAAATAAATTTGGTCTTTCAAACATGTATAGATACTTAATTATTATTATAATGACTTTAATACAATAAAATTTTGGTTTATTTCCACATGCGGTATTATGCAACATTGGCTGCCAAAAAATGCGTACGCATTCTTCTGCGGTCGTTCATTTGACATAAAACGTCTTTAACCTAAGAATTGTGTCACGTTTTTCTTTTGATGAAAATTTTATAGAAAATAATTGTGAATAATGTCGTGGATTTTTGGTTATGGCAGACGCGATCAGCAGCCCCCTGACATGTCCCAGTTTGGGGCACCCCCGGCCGGTGGGAGTGGAGGTGCCGGTGGTGATATCCCTAATGATCCAAAATTGAGCAAAGCTGAAAGAAGACAAATGGAAGCTTACAGATTCGATTCTACAGCTTTGGAACGAGCCGCTCAAGCAGCAAAAGAACTTGAAAGATCATGTAAGTAGTTAAAAAAATGAAGAGTCCAAGTTTGAAGGTTATGTCTTGTAACCTTTGGTTGCATAACGTTCACGTTGGTTATTTGTGATTATTGACTGCAGCACATGCGAAGGAAGCACTCGAATTATCCAAATTGCAAGAAACCACAAGACATATCGAGCAGCAGGCGAAAATTAAGGAGTATGAGGCGCACATTGCTCAAATGCAGATTGAGGCCAAAAGGGCCGAAGCTGAGGAGAAGAGGAAATTGCTGGTTGAGGAGACGAAGCAGCACCAGGCGAGAGCGCAGTATCAGGATCAGTTGGCCAGGAAGCGATATGATGACCAGCTTGCCCAGCAGCAGAGGATGAATGAAGAAAATTTGAGAAGACAAGAAGAGTCAGTTGCTAAACAGGAAGCGATGAGGAAGGCGACCATTGAGCATGAAATGGAATTGAGGCACAAGAATGAAATGAAAAGAGTTGAAGCTGAATTAAAGGCCAAAGCAAAAGTTGACAGGGAAAATCGCGACTTGACTCTTGAACAAATCAGGCTAAAAGCTACTGAAAATCGCGTCACTGTACTTGAGAGCATAAAGTAAGGAAAAAATTGTTTTTGGTTTTTTTCTAATACAACTTATAGAACTGCAGGATCTGTTTTGGGGACAGGTGTACACGCCTTGCTCACAGACTGGGATAAAGTTTTAACAGCTGCTGGTGGATTGTCTCTCTTAGCGTTAGGTGTTTATTCAGCAAAAGGGGCTACTAGTGTTACTGCTCGTTATATAGAAGCACGACTAGGTTGTAACTCCAATGTATAAAAAATGTGAATTAACGTACTTTTAAACAGGAAAACCGTCTTTGGTTAGAGAAACATCAAGATTTTCTTTTCTTGACACAATAAAGCATCCCGTAGAAGCTATAAAGAAAATTCGAACAAAACAGCAAGATGCTTTGTCTGGTGTGGTTTTAGCGCCACAATTGGAAGAACGTCTTAGAGACATTGCCATCGCTACAAAAAATACTAAACAAAATAGAGGCATGTATAGAAATATTCTAATGCATGGCCCTCCTGGTACAGGAAAAACAATGTTTGCAAAAGTAATTTTTACGTAATTGTGTAATACACATTTTTACGAAATTCTATTTTAGAGATTAGCAAAACATTCAGGTATGGATTATGCTATTTTGACTGGCGGTGATGTGGCTCCCATGGGCCGGGATGGTGTTACAGCAATTCATAAAGTCTTTGATTGGGCTCAGAGTACCAGGAAAGGTGTGTTATCCCTCTATAAGAAATAAAATTTATCAGTTTTGTTGATTAGGTTTGTTACTTTTCGTTGACGAGGCGGACGCGTTCTTGCGTAAACGTTCATCAGAACACATTTCTGAAGATCTGCGTGCTACACTTAACGCATTTTTGTACAGAACTGGCGAACAAAGTCAAAAATTTATGTTGGTGCTTGCTTCAAACACCCCTGAGCAATTTGACTGGGCAGTGAATGACCGTCTTGATGAAATGGTGCAATTTGGTTTGCCCGGTTTAGAGGAACGCGAGCGATTAATTCGTCTCTATTTTGATAAATTCGTATTGGAGCCTGCGACTGAGGGCAAGCGGTATGCTGGAATATTTTTTCTAGTTAGTGGTTTGACAATTTTTGAATGTAGGAGGTTGAAAGTTGATAATTTCGATTATGGGGCCTTGTGTAGCCAAATGGCGAGGATGACCAAAGGCATGTCTGGTAGAGAAATAGCAAAGTTGGGAGTGGCTTGGCAGGCGGCGGCGTACGCGTCTGAGGATGGCGTTCTCACCGAAAAAATGGTTTTGGATAGGTGTAGAGATGCAGTGAAGCAGCATAGGCAGAAGGTATAAAAATTTTCATTTTGTGTGAAATTGAAATTTATTGGTTGATTTAGGTTGAGTGGCAATCTGAACAGGAAAAGAAGGAATCGAAGAGTATATATCATTCCGAAAAGGAAGATTCCTATTCACCTGTAGTGCCAAAGCCAAAATCTAGCCAGTCAGAAGAGGAAGAGATAGATACAGCGAAAGTTAGATAGATTATAGCACCAAATAGGGTAATACATTCGTACTCTGGTAGTTTTAAATTGGCATTCTAGCAAACACAGAACTGACTTAGTCACTGCCGTTTATCAGTTCTGTGTCTGTTGTAAAAGTAAACAAAATTAAACGGTTTAAGTTTACTGACGTGTTTATATGTTTATACATGTAGCGTGATTTATTCACCCAGTGGTTTGCATTTAATTCATCAAAATTAGATTGTTAAATAATTGCATTACTTTTTCATATTTAAATGCAATTTTTTAAACATCTTTACAGCTCATGGTTATGTTCTGTTGTGATATTATTGGATGCGTCTCAGGGAAGTTTATATTAAAGTTCTCTGCATTCAAGGTCAAGATTTTGTTGCTATTTTAAAAATTGTCCAATGTAAAATACTGTAAGATATTTGGACTTCCTTTAATAAATACTTTTTACGACCTGTTGTTTTTATCTTTAGATTTTATTGGTGAAGTAATTCTTTAACTCGTCAAAACGGGCTATTCGCACGTCTGAAAATTATCAGAAAAACAATTAATTCTTCATTCCTTTCATAATAAGTTATGTAACGTGCTGGACAAAAAAATGGGACAGCAAGGTCATTTATATGTGAAACGGCCCTTAGTAGTTAGACATGTTCCTGACATGTTGATTTTGTTAAATTGACGTTTCACTTTATAGTGAATTTTCAAGTGTCGAAATTATGGTGTCCTATTTTTTTTATTCGGCATGGTTTATATATTTTTTTGGTTTTGGTAATTGTTTTGGTCGTAACAATAAATAAATAATATTTTTTTTCGTATTATTGCGGTCAATTTTCGAATTTACATAGTGCTAACGATTTGGCCAACCTTGTAACTAATTGGTGGTGGGGCGTCTTCCGTTTGGGGGAAATTATCGTGCGCGTTTTAAGTTTTATAAACTGGTTGTCAGTTGTCAGCGTAATGTCACTCGCGTTTGACATTATTTACATTATGCTCGAATTAAACGTTAAAATTTAAACAAAACCCCTTTAGAAAAATGATCATGTAGTGTAAACGCGTTCGTATCCTTCGAAGCAATAATGGCTCTGTCAATGCTCAACTCCTCAATTCCGCAATAAAATTTTGCTCATAGCGACAATATGCGCCCCCAGATAATCAATTTCTCTCTGCGAGGGATCGTGGTGTGTTTGTTTGTTTTGGTCGGAAATGCAGCCGTTGATCTGGTGCCGTGCGACAAGACCCGTCGCGTCTTCACTAACTCATGGGGCGTCATCACCGACGGCCCCGTGGGCTCCAACTACACCCAGGACAGCCACTGTGAGTGGCTCATCAAGGCCAACGACAGCCACAAGTTCATCACTCTCAGTTTCCGCAGCATGGGCACCGAGTGCTCCTACGACTACGTCTTTGTCTACGACGGTGACTCTTTTCGGTCGCCACTCCTTGGCAGTTTCAGCGGCAAGACGGAGCCCCAGAAAGTCATCGCCTCGTCGGGCTAYATGTTGGTGCTCCTCTACAGCGACACAAATTACGTCCTCGATGGCTTCCGCGCTGAATTCTCTATCACAGATTGTCCAAATAATTGTTCCAACCACGGATTGTGTTATGAACACAGTTGCGTGTGCGAGAGTGACTGGGGCGGCTACGATTGCTCAAAAAAGCTGTGTCCGGACCACTGCGGGGCCAAGGAGCGGCCCCAGAGAGGCCACTGCGAGGAAGGGCTCTGTGTTTGCAAACCGGGGTATTCAGGCCAGGCTTGCAGTCTCTACGAAAGAGACAACACGGGGAATAAGTGGCATTGGTTGTCGCACTCTGAGGGAGGACTACAACCACGAGCAGCTCATACTGCCGTTTATATTGAATCGACTGACTCTCTATACGTTTTCGGCGGATATAATCTCAATCAAATACTTAGCGCTTTAGAGATATACAGCTTTAAAAACAGTACATGGCGAGATGAAAATGGCCAAATATTGCCAGATAAAGGGTTACTTAACGCCATTAATCCCAGTTCTGTGGCTAAATTAATCCAACATGCGGGGCCCGATTGGGAACAGAAGTGGGGATTGAACTCCCCCAAGTCATTTTTCCGAAATTCTCTCTATGCCGTTGTTAATGACAATGCCACGATTTTTACAAGACGGAGACAGCGACATTCCCGAATTCCTGAAGGCCATAAACCTAAAGCCCGATACGGACATGCCGCTTGTGCCCAAAAAGATGGGTTCGTGATTTTTGGCGGGAAATTAGAAAATGGTAGTTTATCTAACGATTTGTGGTACTACGACGTACATTCGAGAAAGTGGCATCAGAGAGCCCTAATGTCACTAATACAACCACCCCCTTTGACCCGTCACACTCTCACAACAGCGGGAGATATGATATACTTATTTGGGGGAAGTACCGAGGACGGGGAATTTTCCTCCCGACTTTTCAGCATTACATTACAACCAGATGGGAGTGAAAATTGGCAGGAAGTTCGCCCTCGAGGGGGTAAAGAATTAGACGTTCGAGTGGTGGCCCACAGTACCGTCTATCATGCCCCAACAAACTCGCTCTTAGTCTATGGAGGCATCGTGGCTGGAGTTGCCCGCTTTTCAAAATTATCGGACCGAATGTTTGCCTTTCAACTCGATAGTCGACACTGGACTGAAATCCATTACACTAGAGAGCATTTACGTGAGAAATTCGTCCCGAGGGAACGCGCCTTCCACACTGCGAACATTTTCGGGAACTATCTTATAGTCTTTGGAGGCTACTCTCACCGACACAACAAAGAAGAAATTTGCTATGACAATCAAATGTATTTATACCACTTGGGTTGCCACACGTGGGTTAACCCTGAAATTTTGGGCAAAACAAACGACTCGCGCTACCCCAAACACCAGGGTGTTTTCGCACATGCCGCCAGTGTCCGCAATGGTAACACTCTTCTCCTCGTTGGAGGCTACCACGGGAACGTTAACGGCGATCTTTTGGCTTATACGGTCCCCCCGATGATTGCCTCCCGGAAAGGAGAAGCGTACGACCCGGAGTCGGCTTGTATCCGCCACCGGAACTACGGAGAGTGTTCCGCAGATCCGGAATGCGGCTGGTGTTCCGCCGATGAACTGTGTTACGGAAGGACAATAGGGGCGAATTGCACCACGAATTTGCAAACGACGCGGTGTCCGGGGGTTTGCCCCGCATTGGGGGATTGTCACTCGTGTCTGATTCATGGACACGTGCATCCCGGGGTGCTGCCCTTGGTCTCGGCGTCGCACAAGTTAGGGTTGGGGGAGTGTACCTGGTGTGTACAAAATGCAAGGTGTCATCATAAGGATGATAATTACGGGGTGTGTGGACTGAGGGAGGATAGTCCGAGTCAGATTCCCGGCTGGTGGGGCCCCAAAGGGACGGAAGTAGTGGAGCCCGAACAGTGCAGGGAGTTAGACAGGAGGCCGGGGTTGACTTTCGTGAAGTATCATCATCCGGTGAATTTTTCGCAGCCGGATCATGTCGCCATTATTAATGCAACGACGGTGAGTGAAATTATGGAAGAATTTTAGACATGGTCTTTGTTTTTTGGACTACACTTTATACTCGTAGAAAAGATTTTAGTACATTTTGGTGTACAAACGTTTGCAGTTTTTTTTGCAACAGTGTTTTGTACCAATTTGGTCTAATTTGTTTGGCCTCAAGGTAGTTTTTTCGGGAAAAACCTTGATATTGAGTAACCTTTAAATCGAAATGAGTCGAAGATTTAGTGTAAACACGCGAGAAGTGTATTCGTGYCAAGAGAATGTTTTGTTGAAATTTTGTGTTTCGTAATGTTTAGTTTAGAATGTTGGGGATTTTGCATGCCAAAGTGTGCCTAGCTGAAGTTAATGGACTTTGTTGAGGAGACGTAGACCTCAGAGTATAGTATAAATGATAATGGCGCTGCGCTGCAATTTATGATTCATGTGTCTAAGATGTCTAATAAGACGGTCATTTACATTAAAAACAAAAACAATTATCTTTACGAATGGAACAGACTCGGTTGGATTGTTAGGTATCTCCTGTTTTCAGAAAGATGGATTTTATCAAGAATTATAATAAGAAAAGTTTCCCTTATAATTGGAAGTACTTCGTTGTGGAAAATTCATTCAGATCCTTATGAAACCGTAATTAGAATGGCTAATTTGGAACAAAGGCTCCGGGCAAAGATTTTAATGGAAATGGAGCTTGTATTTGAGAATACTTCGTTACAATGTATCTGGAAAAAAATAATTACCAATTTTGATTTTAATTGTCGTAACATTGAAGTTTAAAATAGAACTTTTGACAAACGTTCGAATTTACTGCTAAATTATGCACGAAAGAAATATTTTAAAGGGGCGGAATTTCTTTATCTGAAACATTCTTTCTAGATTATGAATATGGTTTATGGATTAAACGACATGATAGTGTCGCTATTACGACTGAAAGAAAAAATCAATTGATTATCATATTATAATTGCTGTTTTTACTTTAACGAAGTAAAATTCCACGAGACTAAGAATATGTAAGTAAGTGAAAAGTTGTGTCTTTAAAATATTGACACATTACGTATTGTTTTTGTTATTTCTTCCTGTAAAATATAGAATATTTTTTCTGATAAGGCGAATAAAAATAATCATTTCTTCAAACAATTAAAGGTTGACAGCCTACTTAGAAATGGAGATAAAAAAAATCAAATTTAAAATTCAACTAATTTAAGAAGATAATATCAGTTGCAAAATCAAATAGATATTCTAGATCATTATAATTTTGCATGCTGAATGACTTTGAGCAATGATCTGTAAAAGTCGTTTCGGTTTTTATAGTAACTTGGACAGTGTTTACTTTTTCTACACACGTAAGTATACATACATAAGTTCCCAAGTCTCATTTGAAAGAAGAAAAATATTTATTTTTTCTAGATAAATGAGAATTAAATTTTCGTGACTATTAGTGAAATGGTTCTTATTATAATATTTGTTTAAATGACTTAAATGACGAATGACCTGTTTGTGTGTGAACAATCAGACATTAAAATTAATAAAAATTGGTATACCCTCTTGGTTTTTCCCGAGGTTTTTTCTCTTTGCCCTTTACATAAATTTAATTAAAACATAATTATATTATGTACTTTGTCGTTGCACTATCAAAAACTAGTCTTAGAAAGCTGATATTCTGGATGATTGTCATTTTTTAAATATAACACTTGTTTTTCCACATGGAAAATAAATGTTGTGGTAATTGCAGACAAGTAGGACACGTAATAACAGAAAAATCAATTTTAATTGTACATATTCAATATTAACTTTAATTTGCGATATTTGTTGACATTGTTGACATTGCGACCCACCTGCAAAAATTGATTACTCAATTTAGTGCTTTATTTCATTACTGAATTGAGTATTTTATTACCACTGATGTGGAGATATATTGAAAAAGAAAGAAACTACCTATTTATTATTTGTCAAAGTTAAATTTTTTTCGTTTCATTAACCTGTACTGACAGACAATTCTTGTTGAGACTTTTTTTACTTACATAATTATTTGTCGTGAAAATGATAAACTTTACAGTGGAACATGATTGCGTTCCATTTATGTCATTTTACGAGTAATTAGCCTAAGTGTTTATTCAAATATGTATTTGCAAACACCTTGAAGTAAATGATTTGCACAATGATTAGCAAAATTTCACTCATTTTGTACCACTGTACTAAGGACGATTCTTTAATTGTGTTTATTGAAATGGATATGGGAATATCAGATACAAAAATGTAAATAAAGAAATAAATAAAATTTTACAGAGATAAATCTGATTTTCTCTTGGTTATTCCGAATTTCGTCAATATTACGGTGATTTATTTATGACATCTTTATGGATTGCGTTAAATAATTAATAGCAGGTTTACACCAGATAGTATAAGCCTTGGGCAAATTCTATTTCTAGGTGTTAAATTTTAACCGACCGGTTGACTTTTCGCTCGTCGAAAGCACATTTTTCCAATACGATATTAAAAATGCACTGAGATACAAACAACCTTTCTAGAATATAATATCAAGTACGCGGTTCGTTTACTAATTGTCTTTACCTAGAAATTGTAGATAATTTAAACTGTATCGAAGGCTACTTCACGTTTTCCTCTCCGATCTTTTAATTTTTTCATGCTCAACTAGACAGACCGAACTTTCGGTGTCAGTCGAATTAATTGCTTTACCTCGTTCCTAATTTAATTATTGTGAATGTCATTTCTTTGCTGCAGGTGGATTTCAACAGCCCCACGAGCCCCATGTTGAGAGGTGACGCCACGGCCGGGGGCGAAATGGTTGCCCGACTTGTGGGATCTCTTTGCTTGCCGACTGATTGGCAAGAAACGCTCAACGTTTGCATAAGCTACTGCAGTGCCACACTGAAAATTTCCGATAATTTGGTTGTGAACGTTTCAGCAGAAAATAATAACGATTGCAAGATGCCAAAGTGGCCGTTTAATGACACTTCCGGCAAGGTTGCCGTCGATTTCGAGAGTCATAAAATGGTTACTTTGGGGTCGTATAACAATCTTCACCAGCAGAGCAAAATGGAATTGCAACATAAAAAAGATAGCGACGAGCAGGCAAAGGTGAGTTATTGTCGACTAATGATGACCCTGAAATTGATAATTAAGCTGTTTGTGTGACCACGAACGGTGATTCGGATGAATTAGGAGAAGTTTATGCGCAGGAAGTGGCGATTAATTTCATTGGTATGAGTAATGATCGGCGAATACATTTTGTGGTGAAGAATGCCGATGATAATAATTTATCGTTTGTTTATCTACCTGCCTTTGACGCAATTCCATGCAAATTGCTTGCATACATTCACGGAATGATAACAACCATAATGATTTTACTAGTGACGAGTCGATTTTTTTTTAACCAGAGGTACCTAATGTATCAAAGCGTTTTATAATTCCTTGACAATTTATTGCAGATTTCGATATAATTATGATATATGTATGCAGAATTAATTGCTAGCTAACCTTGAATAAGTTACTACCTGAACATTGAAGTATCACACCATATGAGGCCAGAGATTATTGTTGTATGTTACCGAGAAAATTCTATTCAAGCGTAATTTATTACATTCCCTTCTATGTCTAATACAATTATTGATTGGTGATGATGCCTAGCGAAGTTTAATAAAAAAATTATTTATTTATTTACGAGTCTATAGGATAGGATGTTTTGTTTTCTCAGTAAATTCCTGTGCGAAAACAATAAAACAAGTTGCAATATTAAAAAATTCCATCCGAAGAGTTGTTTGAAACAACATGAACGATAAATTTACAAAAATAAATTCTATTTGGTATTTTATGCGGGTTTACGACCTTCCTCTTGACATTAGAGTGAAAATGGCGAAGTGAAGATCGCCACTATCGAAGTGGATTATTGGAGAAACTCCACTGTTTCCTTCCCATTACTTTATGTTCATTTTCTTTTTTATGTACGAGTATTCATTTTAAATAAACTATTACTGTGAATAATAATAATTGACAATTAGTCTAGTCAACGAACAAGTTGTAGAATGCATGGTCAGTAATAGAACGGGGAGCAGGGGGGCACCAAGAAGGTGCTTATATCTATATAAGCTTATATCTCGAAAATGGTGCTGTTAAAAAAAATGTAATTCACAAAATTAAAGCTTTAAAATTCCTACAACACAATCTTTCCGTTTTTTTGTACTTTTTGAGATATATACATACGCTAGCAAATATCGCACGTTTTTGTCTTGTTTTGCATCAAGGTGCCTAAATGTCCTAAATCCCAAGTTTATAGCAAAAGTGATTGTGTGAGAATGTTGGTTAAATATTGGAAATTGTACTGTAAGCCTCTGTAGTTTGTAAAAAACAGTCTTCATACCATACTGTATGTATTGTAGTCCCAAGAAAATGAGGTTATGTTTCACTTCTTGCACCGTGTTCTTCTATGAAAATGTTTAGATTCGATGAAAATTTTCACTTCCGTATCCTCGTCGGTAATTTATGTTGTGTTCATAAACACATGGTGCCATTCCTATTAAGATTTAAGGTTTTATTTCCTAATCAACTACAACGAAACTTTGGTTGCAAATTCTCCGTCACAATATACTCATAATTATCCCAAAAAGAGCGCAAAACGCATAAATGGCACACATCGCATTTTCATTAAAAATTGGAATTATCTTAAATGAATGAATGTAAATCAATTTTGCTACATTTTATTAATTAATCTAAAGTCTAAAGTGATTGGCTTCTCACGTTGTTATAATGGCCGACTTCAAACACACCAATCCCATCATTGCATTAAATTTTTGAATGAATCCAAAAATCCAAAGTGATTGGTTCTTTGCAATATTATAATGGCCGATCATAAACTGTCCAATCACAATGCTACAACTTTTACAATAATTTTTAATTAATTCATTAATAGTTTTTTTTTTAAAGTGTGCGATATTTACTAGCGAATATCCCGAAAACTAATTTGAGATAGAAAAAACCTAAGAAGACCATCTTGTAGAAAATTAGTGCCACCCTGAACCCCGCTCAGCACCTTATTTATACCTCCTAACTAGTCTAAAAAACAAACTAGATCAAAAGTCAAAATTTTGTTCGCCTCTATAATAATTAGGCCATACAAAATTGTGTAACTTCAAAATGTTATGGTCTGTTTTAATTAAAATTTTATTAGCATGGTAATAAATAACAAGAACCGTATCCTTTTTTGCACGTTTTGCTTCTAGAACAAGGCAATATTGCTACTAAATCTATTATTTAATGAAATAGAAATTTGTTATTATTTAATAGACAAGGGATCAAATAAAAAATTAAAATTAATATGTTCCGAGAATGTTTCTCAAATTATGATTGATGATATACTTTCGGGGAAATTCCAACAAATACATTATTGCAAACAAAAAAGATATAAAATTACCAAGGTTAGARTAAATATCGTCAAAAACCTATACCGGCTTTTTTCGTGTCATTTCAAGTGTAACATAGTAGGTGTTTAATTTTATATTCCTTCTGTTTATTGGTTTTTATTAGATGTCTTTATCATTACACCTGAATTTCATCAAATTACGTTACGGTTTATGCGTTGCAGGAATGCGTTTGTTATTACGCTCATTACTTTGTAATTACTGTAATTCTAACATTCTTTGAAACCTTGATAAATCCCTTCTAGGTCTTCACCTTCGAGTACCTAGAACCTTACGCAAATGGTACTTGCTCTCAATACAAAAACTGCCTCTACTGCCTTACCGACTCGCAGTGCGGGTGGTGCGAGGCCAACAACGAGTGCGTCTCACGCCATGAAGACGAAAGCCTCACTTGCACCACCGTGGACGACGACTGGCGCTATCTCACCCTCCAACCCAGTGCGTGTTCCAATTGCTCCAACTATATCTCCTGCGAGAGTTGCGTAGGGTCAGGGCTCTGTCAGTGGTCAATCGAAGACGCCAAATGCTCGAGAGTAGTCCAAAAGGCGGAAGCCGCCGTTGCCATCGAGCAATGCCCCACTCCTTGTTACAAACGTCCGGATTGCGCTTCCTGTCTCGACCAAAAAGGCAGATGTGTCTGGTGTGAGGCAACCCAGCAGTGTTTCAGTTTTTCGGTTTATACCAGCGAGTATCAGTTTGGGTTATGCCGCGAGTGGTTAGATCAAGCCTTTCCTTTGGTCACGGCACAGGATAATAGCATTTTGCCAGCACCGCGAGCCGAAGAACAATGCAAATCGTGTTCTTTGCACACGAACTGTTCGCGTTGTTTGAGTTCATTGAGTTGCGGGTGGTGTTATAACGGCTCGAATCCCATGACAGGTACCTACCTCTTTTGAGTTGATTGAGCCGTGTTTCATTTGTTTTTTCAGGAATGTGTGTTCAAGGGGACTTTAATAATCCGCATGTCAATTGTTCGGAGGCTTTGGGTATAACAGATGCGAAATGGGCTTATGCCCAATGTCCCGATGTGGATGAGTGTGGGTTGGGACTCCACGATTGYCATCCACAGGCTATTTGTACCAATACGGATGGATCATTTAGTTGCCATTGTCGGAAAGGGTATATAGGAGATGGAAGGACTTCATGTATACGTACTTGTTACAATGTTTGTGTTCATGGGAGGTGTCAGGGAGAACCTGATTATGCTTGTAAATGTGACTTAGGGTGGTTTGGAGACGATTGTTCGAAAAATTGTGGTTGCAATAATCACTCGGCTTGTCCTGAAGGAGAGGGGATTTGTGAGGAGTGTATGGATTGGTCCATGGGGGAATTTTGCGAGGAATGCAAACCGGGGAGTTACGGAAATGCTACAACCGAGCAAGGTTAGTTTAGGRGAAATACTAGACATTCTACTAAATTTTTTGAGATAGGTTGTCATCAATGTGAATGTAACGGCCATGGAATTAAGGAATTGGGCGAATGTGATAATGTAACTGGTACTTGTTACTGCCAGGATAACACAGAAGGAGAACATTGCGAATGGTGTAAAGCGAATTATTACGGGGATCCTAGAAATGGAAAGCAATGTTACTATCAGTGTGAAGCTAGAGGAGTTTTGGATGAGTCTCGAGGTCAAGGGATCAGCTCGATGCAGGCTTACAGTGCCCCATGGGGTGGTTCCCCGACCAGAGAATGTCTCTGGATAATCAAACCTGATGTAGACTATGGAATTCCAATTATTCAATTACAGGTACCTGTAATTATTTGAAACCTCACCCGATAAAAAGTAAAGTTAAAAAAAGTGAATTTAAAAAAGAATTCTTAAAAAATATGAAGCCAAAACTAGAGTTTTTATTTTTCCCTCTTTTCAGATTAATTCTAGTCAATTAAATGTAACCTGTGGCGAAAACGCCGTATACGTATATGACGGTCTCCCTGAGCTCGTCGATATGGGCAGCCAAAGCGCGCTCTCTTCCGTTTTCTGCACCGAAGAAGCCCTCCCTGTCTCGACCGTCGAATCCCGCACTGGCCAACTAACTGTACATTACAAACAAGGCTTACCTGGTGAAGGATTCAGTGCAATGTACAAAGTGTTGAACTGTGAGGACAACTGTGAGCCTCCACGCGAGTGTATCCGCGGTCAGTGTGTGTGCCAAGAAGGTCTCGTGGGTTACAACTGCGAAGAAGTGATTTGTCCCAGGAATTGCAGTTATGCAAGACAGCAAGGAACATGTGATAAAGCCTACGGAAGGTGCATATGTGCATCGGGTTGGGTCGGACCATCGTGTGATATAAGGTACGACATAGTTGTTGAAAAATTTATTAATTACGTCGGATGAAACAGATTTACCGTGTTGTTTTAAAAAGTTTAAAAGAATATTGACGCAGTTTTGGTCTTCGGGTGACATTAGCATGGCGATTATGTCGAATCGGGGTAAGTTGATGAGGTTTTCGAGAACGGAGTGAAGGCGGTCGACTTCGCCGGGGACGGCGAAGTGGATGCACAGGCATTTGAGGATTTTACTGAACATGGCGTTGTCGAGTTTACAGCCGATTACTGAAATAATGCCAAAATTAGAAAATAAATCTTAAGTAATAATGTTTGGATTTTTTCTTGAGTTAAAATGAGAGTAATGGTTTTCATTTATTTTCATTATTCAATAATTGCCACTGAAAAATATATTTTGTTTTTATTTTTTTGTTTTTGTAATTATCTTTCTAATTTCTTAATTTTATTAATACAAACCATCTGTAATCCGATTTATGTCCACACTCCTCAATATCGTTGCATGTTGTTGGAGAGTTGGATCACAATTTGCCGAATTCCAAGTTTTCAAAAAACTGTACGGAGAATTTATATCTTGTGGCAGATCAATAGACTCATCTTTTTTCGTATATGGCTCTCCACCCGCACACTGATCTTCTACGACCATCTAAAAAAACATATTTTACAAAAAATGTGATTACAAAAAGCAAATTATACTTGACGCATCGTCCTCCTGTTTAATTCTTCTTTCGATTTCTCTCCTAAACTATTTTTTAAATTTACTTCATTTCTATGAGTCGTTTCATTAATAGGGAAAATTTTACTTTTGTTACAACTATTTTTCAGATTAAAACTACAGTCATTTGTGCTTTCTATTTTTCCTGATAATTGGTTGGCTTCAGTTAAATCTTTGGCATTGACACGATTAAATTTTGTACTTTTGCGACTCGTAACTCCACTTTGAGCAGTTTCTATGTCATCCTCTGTTTCACAAGACATTTTACTCAAATTTTGACTACTACATATCCTCCTCAAATGATTCACCGTACAATTGTCATCATCGTCCTCTGCACAATCAACGGAAACCAAATGCACAACCCTATTCGCCTTCCCAATCTCCTCCATGACCTTTTCCGGGTCACCCTTACAAGTAACATAATACGGCGGCGCCATATTGCTCGTCCCCGGAATCGGTATAATCACCTCATTATCACTGTTCTCAACCTCTTCCACAACAAAGCGTGTCGTCTTCCTCACAACACTCCCACTCAGTTTACGAAACTTATCTGCCAACTCCTGTGCYAATTCATTATTCGGATTAATCTCAATCGCTTGTTCGATGGTTTCCAAAGCTTCAGCATGATGCCCTAACCCGTCCAAAGCTTGAGCTTTGCGTAAAAAAGCTTTGAAATTATTCGGCTCGATGACTAGAGCGGAGTGGCAGTCATCGAGCGCGTTTTTGTACTTTTTTAACTTGAGATTGGTCAAASCTCGATTGGTGAAAGCTGCAAGTGTAGGCTTGCAATTGATGCTYTCGGTATAGTGTTTGAGGGCTTCGGCGTAATCTCCGGCTTTGAAAAATTCGTTGCCTTTGTTTTTCTCGTAGTTGGCTTCATGCGAGGTCTCAACGTCAGTCGAAAACTCCCTAAATTGGACCTTCTTGGCCGTATTCTTTTTCTTTTCTTTTTGTAAWGCCAATTTTTTTAGATTTTCCTCTTCCAAATCCATTTTGAGGATTTCTGTATCGGGATCATATTTATCCCAAGAAGAATAATCAGTTGAGGAGATGCGTTTCACTGATTTTACCTCTTCCTCAACTACTTTTTCTACTGATTCTCGTACTGGTAGTAGAGTCGATCCAGATTTTCTGTTCTTGAAAAAATTTAGTTCGTCATCTTCTTTACTAACATTGGTAACCCATTGAGTCAAATCTCTTGTTATTTCGTTTCTTTCGTCTTTTTCCAGACTCTCCTTTGACAAAACCGGGACTGCTTTCCTTAATAACTTACTTTTTGGCTTTACTACAGCGAGTCTATTTTCCGCAAAACGTGTCAAGTCCGGAAAATGTCCCTCTTGCCCTGACCTCAACACTTGAACTATCCTTTCCAACTCGCGAYCATCTTTACAAGTTTCAATGTACGAATATTCGAAATGTTGAACCGGAATTTTATATTTATCAATCAGCGATTCGTGTTCCACCCTTCGGTGACTTTCTTCCGGTTCTATTAAATTCTTCGCTTCCTTCAAAAGGACCATTTTCACCTTTCAACTGTCAAATATAACATTTAATTTTATTCGAGATTTGTTTTACCAACAGTTGCTAAGTTAACCCAATTGATCAAACACCACCCAATCAATAATCGGGGTACATTTTTAGGGCAAATGGGACTCAAATCCTCTTCACTGAACTCTTCAACACAATTCGCTTAGCCGACAATTTGGAACACCTCCGCAAAACCCTTCCTCGTTTTGGACACTCGTTAGTATCAGATCGGAGGGGTTCTCTGTGGATGTTTGGGGGCTACTCCCTCTCTCACGGCCCCCTGAACGATATCCGTTTGTTCGATACTCGGAACAGTACATGGATGCAAGTTACAGTCGATTCGACGACACCTGACGCTAAAATGCCACAAGGTCGTTATTTTCACGGCGCGGATATAATCTATTCGAAACAAGCGATTTACGTTTATGGCGGTTTAACCAAACCGGTGAAGTCATCAAATAACCGAACTTTGGACGACTTCTGGCAGTTTGATATCCAGAATCAGCGATGGGGCGAAATTGAGAAAAATAATGACTGGCCACCGCCACTCTCGAGTCATACTTTGACATCGTATAGGAACTCCACATCGGAGAGTTTGATTCTGATTGGTGGAATTTCACCTCAGAGTGACTTCCATAGCGTCGTATGGGAGTTCAGACTGGATAAAGAACAGTGGCAAGCGTGGAAGACGAGGGGACAAGGACCGGCCGGAATTTTCGGTCACAGTACAGTGTTTCACGCTCAAACTAATAGTCTTTACCTTTTTGGGGGATACATTTACGAGTCACAAGCATCAAGACTGTCGAATAGGTTGTATATGCTCAACTATGATACGAAAACTTGGACCGAGTTAAACGAACTTGGCGCTTCTTTATATCTGGTAAGTTGGTCAAGAGAAAGTTTTAATTGTTAATTGAAATATTTAGCCACGCCCCAGGTTCTTCCATTCGGCTGTCACGACCGATAATTTCATGTTTGTGATGGGAGGACGGATATTTCCGTGGAATATAAGCGACACGCTTTACGCTTATTCGTATAACTGCAATCGGTGGATTAATTTGATGTCAGAAGGTAAAATAAAACCAAAGCAAGTCACACAGCTGACGTTCATTGTTGGTAGCATTGGAAAAAGTCGGGCCTTTACCGATACAGACATACGCGCAAGCTATGACGATTGAACCCGATGGAGACGCTGCCTATATAGTAGGAGGCTGGGGAAGTGATTCTCAATGTTCTGTTCTTCGATTAGAACTCCCGGAAGATCTTTGTTCGTTATGGCCGACTCGTGACAGTTGTTTCCGGATGGCCGGTTGTGGATATTGCGCTTATAAAGTCGGCGATGAAGTTATGTCGGAAGTGTGTCACAGTAATGCAAAGGAATGCCCCTTGCAGGACTCCCCAGCCAATGGTTGGTCAAGTCAAAATTTGTATAGCTATAGATTTATCTCGGAGTTTTTCCAGCTTCAAAAATATCTAATCCTGGAACGGTTTGTAACGAACCGGTTGTATCCCGGAATTGTTCCTCCGTGACCGATTGTTCTTCTTGTGTCAAAATCGGTTGCCGTTTCTGCGAAAATACTTGCACGTCAAACTCGACATGTCCGGTGGCGACACTGACAGAATGTTTCCCTAACAATTGTTCGACGAAAGATTACGAAAATTGCCGACAAACGCCGGGATGTGATTGGAATTGTTCTAAAGGAGAGTGTGTTCCATGTAAGGCTACACTTTGTACTTTTCGGCTTATGATTAATTTTTTTTTGAAGTGTTGAAAGGTCAAGAACCGAATCCGAAACCTTGCCCACAGTCATGTATGCACTACAATACGTGTGCATCTTGTTTAGAAACCGTCCATTGCCGGTGGTCTACCCAACTAGACGAATGTATTTCGGCGCTTTATCAACCGGCATATTGCGCTGGTGGTGTTTGTGGTTTAGTTTTACAGGCCGATGATAAGCAGTACTGCCCTGCACCTTGTAGCTCGTTTAGTCAGTGTTCGCACTGTTTGAGACATGCGCATTGCGGATGGTGTGCAGGTCCGGGTAATGGGGATGGGGTTTGCACCGAAGGATCGAACGAAAGACCCATGCATGGAACATGCAAGGATATATTTATGAAAGAAAAGCCGAATGTAATTTGATAAATAATTAAAAACATATGGTTGAGTTTTAATTGAATTTTAGGAGGATTTGCAAAATGTGACCTACAGTTGGAATTACGTGAGATGTCCCGAAGAAGACGAGTGCACCAACGGCCACCACAATTGCGAGGCTGAGTCTCAACGTTGCGTAGATAAGCCCCAAGGGTTTGAATGTGAATGTGGTCCCGGTTACAAGGCTGCAAGTTCAACGAAACTATCGACGGGGTCGACGGTTTGCGAGCCGGTGTGTCCCTTGGGTACGTCCTTGTGATCTCCCGTGATACTTAGCTTGATGTTGCTTTGCTTTTGCTAGGCTGCGTTCGTGGTCAGTGTGTCCAACCTAACAAATGTCAATGCGATTTTGGCTATATTGGCGCTAACTGCAGCATCCAGTGTCAGTGCAATGGCCACGCTAACTGTGAAGGTCCCGACAAATTGGATAAGTGCTTAACTTGCTATAATAACACAATGGTGAGTCGACTCACCCCTCGAAAATCGTTTCACTGAGTGAGGTTTTTTAGGGGGCGCAATGTGAGAAATGCAAACCGTTGTTTGTGGGAGACCCCTCAGATGGGGGACAGTGTGTCCCATGTTTGGAATATTGTCACGGCCACACTCCCATTTGTGTGGATAATAGTACAGATGTCGATTTTATCGACTTCATCGATTATGAATCGGAACGGTTCTTGAAGAATATTAAAGAGGGGCCAAAAGCACATGCGCGATGTCTTAAGTGTGCCAATCAAACGGCAGGCCCGCGGTGTGAAGATTGTATAGTCGGTAAGTGGTTGATGAATTAGATTCGGGTTTAGGAAAATTGGGGTTCAGGTAATTTCAGAGGGACCGAGGATCATCGGGATCCTTGTAGACCGTGTGATTGCCACGGTCATGGAGACACTTGTGATCCCGTCACTGGTGATAAATGTAATTGTAAAAATAATACGGAAAGTGATACATGTGGTGGGTCCGGAAAAAATTCAGCTCATCCGTGTTGGATGGTCCAATGTTCCAAATGCAAAGAAGGATATTTGGGGACCCCCACTTCGGGACACCAGTGCTACAAACAAATGGCGGTCGAGTCAAAGATGTGTTTCGATGCTAAGCCTATCGGTAAGATTTTATTTCTCACAATATTTTGAGTTGTTTATATGTTTTTTCCAGATGAGTGTAAGATAAAACCGAAGCCCTTGCATCCGGGAGAGATGGTGTTTTTCGTAATACAGCCCCGTTTCATGAACGTSGATATCCGAATAATAATTGACGTAACTCAAGGCAACTTGAATGTATATATGAGCACCCATGACGACACATACGTAGCCTATCCCAACGCCACAACCGGTCTCAACACCATAGACCTCGACGCTCAGTATARTCATTGGGAAAACGGTTCTCAAAAAATTCGAGACGCTTTTCTCGAACACGAAGCGGTGGGATTGCACACATACATCACAATCACTCAGCCAAACACAATCCTTGCCGTTAAAAATCTCAGAGACAGATTAGTGATAACTCTTCCTGAAGAATACCATAGTTTGGAATCGACGCGATTCTTTCTAGTGTTACAAGCACTCGATCCGGGCGATTCCGAGAAAAAGGTCGCATACGGGATAGTGTTCTCGCGCCAAGATCAGTTGCATATTGATCTGTTTGTGTTCTTCTCTGTGTTCTTTTCGTGTTTCTTTTTGTTCCTGGCGGCTTGCGTCGTGGCGTGGAAGGCGAAACAAGCGGCGGATGTCAGGAGGGCTCGACGGAGACACGTCGTTGAGATGCTGCATATGGCGAAGAGGCCCTTTGCGAGTGTTACCTTAAACCTAAGTACCAGAGCTAAACCTAAGAAGTCTGCTCATTGTGATTTGAGGCCGGTTGCAGTCGAACCTACAGGTTCTTTCACTTTTTTATTAAAAATGTTTTCTAATAATTTGTTTTACAGATGATGGGTTGGCGGCCGTTGCAACGGTCTTTGTGAGTTTGCCAGGAGGTCAAAGCCCCTGTGTGAAACTCGCTTTAGCGTCATCTTTAATCCTCCTAGTCCGACAGTTTCCCACAGGAGGAAGGACTTTCCTAAGGAGGCGGTCTGCACACGCAGCGCCACCTACTTAAGTATTGACTCTCTTGCTTGAATATATGTACCTATATGTTTTATATGTTACATAGATGGATGTTTATTTATAAAAATAAATATTTTATAAATGTTGTTTATTTTTCAAGTCCCGCTAAGTCGCTTTAACATATTGTAGTAACAATATTTGATATCAAAATCCATATCATACCAGTAGTTTATCGCTATGCACTTATGGCTTTGTTTAACGTGGTGAAACCAAAGGCTTGGTAAGTAGAGACAATCTCCACTTTTTATTCTAACTTTGTACTGAGTTGCGTTTTTAAATTGAGGATATTTATCATAATGATTTCTTTTTAACGGATCAATAGCGATCCATTCGATTTTTTCCCCTTTGTGGTCTTCAATATAACATTTTTTGTTCATTACATCTTTGTAGGTTCCTACAGGATACGTTTTATATGGTACATATGGTAAATCAGTTGGGGGAATAAGTATGAAGTCTTTGAATCCATCTATCACGCAATAAATATTCTCATAAGGGTCTTTATGCACTAGAATTTTAGGCTGGTATACGCAATATTTGAAATTTTCAGTGGCTTACAACTGGTGACGGCACGTGCATCGCCCATCCAGAAATTCACAGCATCGGGGGTTTTGTCAAAAGCCTTAGAAGCCCAAGGAATTTCAGATTGAACGTCACACATTAATTCACTGAAGTCTTCGGTTAAATTGGAGTTTTGTTTCTGAATGTAGCAAATATACTGTTTACTAAAAATAAATAAAATCATAAATAAAATTTAAGAAACTTTAATCTGACTGACCTGACATCGTCCATTTTTTTAACAAATTCCCTCATAGGCATTTTAACTTCTTCTGGCATTACAAAATAGTGTACTTTGCCTTTTTCTGTGGTTTTGGCTGCCAAGCCATCTGCATACCCATTTGGGGTTACAGCGACTGTCACTTCTTTATTTGGAATGGTATCCCTACAATTCAAAATGTTGCAAAATCTGTATTTAATGTATAAAAGAATTATTTTACAAGAAATATCGTGAATTCCATTTTGATACTGCTGGAAAATGTTTACAACCCCCTCTTATAATAACAGGATAATTTTTAGCCACAAAGTCTCTATAAAAGCGAAAAGGCCAATCAGTCCTCAAAGTCTCACCAACACTAATCACAGGGACATCAGGGCACACATGTATCAATTCTGTAAAAGCAAAATAAARTGTGAGGGGTTATGTTATCAATTTTTTGAAAGCTTGWCATAATTACACTTAAACAGTGTATGAAGTTCCATAATCTTTACCTGAAGTCTCAGTTTTCAAAATCTGAAACGCCTCTGCAATTTTTTTATCAGTCTTATCACACATAATTTTGAAAACTCGAATGCCAAAAAACTGAGGTTATGTTTCTAGCCGCCTGTTTACAACGCAACAATGTTCGCATTTCGGCACCAAAGCGCCTCTTTGAAACTTCTAACACGCTCAGTGTCTTCAAAATGTAAGATCGAGGAAATTATTCGTGTTGATCATGCTGGAGAATTGGGGGCTGATGTGATCTACGCTGGTCAAATGGCAGTATTAGGGAGCACCTCAAAAGGCCCCATCATTAAACACATGTGGGACCAGGAAAAGGGCCATAGGGCTAAATTTGAGGAGCTGATCCGAAAACATCGCGTGAGACCCACTGTAATGACTCCAATTTGGAAAGTTGCTGGATTTGCACTAGGAGCAGGGACTGCCTTGTTGGGAGATAAAGCAGCAATGGCGTGTACTGTGGCTGTTGAGACGGTTATTGTGGATCACTACAATGATCAGTTGAGGGAATTAATGGAGGATCCTGAAGCGAATAAGGAGTTGTTAGAAACTATAACTAGGTTTAGGGATGAAGAGCAGGAACATCATGATTGTGGAATTGATCATGGGGCTGAACAAGCACCATTTTATAAGGCTTTGACTGAAGCGATTAAACTGGGATGCAAGGGGGCGATTGCTATTTCGAAAGTTATTTAAATATATCCAGTTTACTTATGTAAATAAATGTATGAGACTAGATTTTTTAAATAAACATATAACTATTTTAAGTTAATTGATTTGTATTTATGCAATCCAGATTGTTGTTCACCTTACTTTTGGACCATATAAACACGCTTAAAGTACCTAGGCAGTGAAAAGTTGATTTATGAAACATCATTTTCTGTTTAAGAGTGTAAAATTAGAATAAATAATAATTAAAACGCCAGAAAGATAGGCTGTATTTTATGTTTGTAAGTAAGTATGTACTCTCATTATTTGTTCTTATTTAGTCTTACAAAATAAATCATATTAATTATCTTGTAAGTACTCTCGTTACTTATTTGTAAATAAAATAAAAAATAAAAACCTTGTTGTGTTATTTCTCTCACCACATGAGCTACCCCCGAAACTATACTCAATGCGTCACATGTGGTGGAGGCGCCGGGTAAAGTTTTAATAAAGATTATTTGCTTTAAAATTATGTTAGTTGTGAAGATAGGTCAGGGTAATTGTATTTTTTTTTGTGCAACGCCCACGAAAAAAGTTTTAAAAACTGAAAGAATCTCAAGGATGGGGGAAAGTTTATTTGGAGTGATGAGCCTTTACACAAAAGGAGCCTTGACCCACCCGTGCTGATCTAGGAGCATCTCTCTAATTTGTGTTGAGAGAAGAAAAAAATCTCCAACGGTCTTACGAGGAAGACGTGTATGAGGGTTGTTTGAAGAATTTAGAATTGGCGGAATACGAGGAGCGGAATTAACTGCAACCTAGGTTGTGACATGTGCCCTCCTAAAGTTATGTTTATAATACTCTCTAATTTATTATTTATTGTTATGTGGCTTTAGAAAATAAATCATATTTTTCTACCTTTGTCTTTGGTCTGCTATGAGCTTAGGCCCGTAATAATATACACTTCAGTATTCCTGGTTGCATTAGAATAAATATAAGTGGAGATATCAGCACAGTTTGTGAAACAAAAACTAAATTTATATAAACAAACTTCATAAAAAATCAAAGAACAGAATTTTAAGTGGGTTTAAAAAACATTTTTTTTAATATGCATTTCAATTTACAAGAGTTGAATCATAAAATCATGTTCAACTGAAGTAAACAATATTTTAAAATTTTAATTGCGTCGTTATATTTTCAGAACTCCACTTGAAAGTCATTAGATCTATTAACAAATAATTTTGTTTGGAATTTTGGTGCAGAATCTAATTTAGTTTCAAAACATTTAAACTTCTGAGTTTATAAAGTGATTAAAATTAATAAATTACGACTCATACTAGTTTGTATGTAGAAATATGACAATCATCATGAATGGTTTAACAAATCATCTTTTTGAGAATATTAAACATTTTAGACTATTCTAACATTCTATGTTAATAAATACATATGTATATACCTACATTAAAATATATTCAGAGATCAGAGAAGACTATTTGTAATTGTAATCTTGAATGGAACAGACAACAGGGTGCATTAATGAATAAATACGAAAATTTTATTTCTGTTTACAATTTGATTATGTAATGAGTTTGCTATAAATAGCCTCAAGCTTTACTACATCACCAATGTTCGTGTAGCAGAATAATTCTGTTATCAATATCGTTGCACCCGAGACGACTAAATGTTTTATCAAAGCTGCTCTCCTGGATTCTAATCATTTTATTGTTTATTTATATCCTTATCTTTGCCCACTTGATACACTAGAGGGAGGGTGAATAATGAAAAACATGAGGGGGGTGAATAATATAATCCCGAGACAAGTAGGAAGTGCTGGCTTTTTCTTTTTTTGTTACGACTGTGTAAAACACTGTCGGATTACATCCGAAAAATACATTTGTGTCCTGAGGGACACATGACGCAACATACTGACGATTGCAAATGATTATTGAGCAGACCTTGCAAAATTTTTCGGTATTGGAAAGAAATTTCTAAAATTGAGATGCTCAAAATTATTGTGTAGCAGCATATAAGCTGGTCATAAATTGTAACAATTTAGTTCCGTTGCATTTTTAATTAACTCACTCTTGTTGCCTTAATTGCCTCTATTTAATGAGACTTTTTTGTCTACTTTTATTTACAAGTGTAATTATTTATTTAAGGATTTAATCATGTGTAGGTTTTCGTCGGAGCAATTGACAAAATTACTGTTTTCAACGGAAGAAGAAAATTTCACACTAAATAATTTTACATTATAGTTTAACCTTGATACTGAAGCTTCTTGAATAAAAATATGAGTTAATAAGCTGCACATTTTATTCACTCAAATGTAAATAATTGCAGTGATTTATCTCTTTTTTGTAGGTCCATTACGTGATAATATAATTTAAAACAAATTATCAAAATCAAATCAAATGCATTTGTAAAAAGACTTACTTAAATAATAAATTATTACTTAATGATTATGAAATTTTTGCAGAATTATTCAAATTTTTGGAAACACATTACTATAATATACTACTATACTACTATATGCATCAAATTACTTAAGTCATTGTAACTGTCACGTTTGCCTGAAAACAAATTGTAACTGTTGATGCCACTAACTGGCTTAAATAATAAAATTACTTCTTATATTTCCTTATGTCACTCTTTATTCCAAGACCAAAAAATTATCCAAAACTCGTCGTATTTTATTATTGTCAGTAAAGTGGGGGGACATCTTTTAAGACAATTATCACTATGACTTCCATTTCACGATTGTAGTTTGGTGGTATATGTGAGATTTTTAAATAAACTTTTTTTTTTAAAATGGACGAATCAATGTCTGGTAAAAAGTGAGATTTGTTTTTTGTACAAAATTTATTGGATTATAATTAAAAAAAATATAATTTTAGGAAAAATTCTTGGTGGGAAGACCGTACTAAATACGAGAAATGTTTAATTGTTTTATCAGGATTGTTTATTATTGCGATAATTTATTTGGCTTCAAATTTATTAATGCAATTTCCGGCATCTAGTGAGTTTAAAAAATTATCAATCAAAAAGTAATTTCAAATTTTAGCTGAGCGTTTGAAACAAGAAGTCTGCATGACGGAAAAATGCATTCGTTCAGCGGCGAGTATTTTGGAAAAAATGGACAGAACTGTTGATCCCTGTGACGATTTTTATAAATTCGYTTGTGGCAATTTTGTAGAGAAACAAATTATTCCAGATCACAAAACAATGGTTTCTTCTTTTGGCGAAACGAGGTGCTAATTAATGCAAAACTAATTAACTTACCTAATTCATTTGTCTAGTGATAAGGTAAATCTTCAATTATTGAAAATTTTTGAAGAAGATATCCATGAAAAAGATCCTCATTCTCTAAAACTCGTTAAATCAATTTACAAATCATGTATGAATACCACACAGATAGAAAAAGAGGGTCTTATTTTCATCAAAAAAGAATTTCGTGATTTGGGCGGCTGGCCTATTATAGAGCCTCACTGGAACGAAAAAGCTTTCGACTGGAAAAGTCTTTTGTTTCGTTTGAGACGAATTGGGTGGAGACGTACTTTTTTCTTCAGTATGTTTATTGATACAGATGCGAAAAACTCGTCTAAAAGAATTTTTACCGTAAGTAAAACTTTTAATCATAAGAATTTCTACAAATTTTATTTAGATAAGCCAACCTTGTATGGCTTATGATAGATTAAAGAAAGGTTTCAACGATACAGCAGTTAAAGCCGGTTATGAGTATTTAGTGGATTTAGCCGTACTTTTCGGAGCTGATAGAACAGCAGCTATGGTGGAAATGCGAGAAGTGGTTGAGTTTCAAATAGAATTAGCCAAGGTACAAGATTGTAAATTAATTGCAAAAAAAGAGAAACTTTATTTCCAGATTATAATTCCGTTTGAAGAAAGGAAAAATGTTTCATTGAGCTACAATCTAGTAACAATTAGGGAACTCCAGAGAAATTTTACAACTATTCCTTGGTTAAAATTTATTAATAATTACTTATCCCCAATTATGCTTAATTCTGATAGTGTCGTAAATATAGCCGTGCCTGAATTTTTTCAGAGACTAGAGAACTTCTTACCGAACGTGAAGAAACGGTTAGTTGCTTCAAATTTTTGCACTTCTAAACTGTCTTTTAGAGTTTTAGCAAATTACATGTTTTCATCCCTGGTTAAAGGTTCTATCACTCATTTACCAGAAGCTTTCAGAAAGAAACAATTAGATTTTTTGAATACYGTGTATGGGCAGAAAGATACCACTCCTCGGTGGAAGGAATGTGTTTGGCAAGCTAATCGGTAACTGTTTAAATGTGTGTTAAAAATCCTTATTATTTATTTGCTATAGTTTACATATTGCTGTGTCTTCAATTTATATTAAAAAGTATATTAACAAGACTTTAAAATATCGTGTGGCTGAGCTAACAATTGATATTAAAAGTTCGTTTATGGAAACTTTAAAAAAAATTGGCTGGATGGATAAGAAGACAAAAAAGCATGCTTTGCAAAAAGCCGAAAAAATGAGTTCTTTTATCGCATATCCTGACGAGCTTTTGGACGCCAATAAAGTAGAGGATTATTATCGAGGGGTCAGTATTTACTTGCAAAAATTTTAATTTGATTTAATAGAAATATTAGTTGGAAGTGGACCCTCAGCAATACTCTTTGAAAAGTTCTTTCAACATCTCAAATTTTGGTCATATGAAATACGTTCATCTCTTAAGAGAACCTGTGCTAAAGCCCGATTGGCGTGATCAGGCCTACTCGTATTACGTGAATGCATTTTACGACCAAACTACAAACAGTATCGGTATGTTCCGTTTTGATTCATTTTGAAAGTATTGAATATTTTATTGTAGAATTGCCGGCGGCGATATTACAGGACTCTTTCTTCGATCCGGAACGGCCGCAATATATGAATTATGGAGCAATAGGCACGGTAATAGGCCACGAAATAACTCACGGTTTCGATGATATGGGCCGACAGTATGATAAAGACGGCAATTTGATTGACTGGTGGGAGCCAGAAACTAATAAAACTTTCGCCTCGAAGAGCCAATGTCTTGTCGAACAATATGGCAATTATACCATTCCCGAAATCGAAATGAGTTTGAATGGGRTTAAAAATTTGGGTGAAAATATCGCCGACAACGGGGGGATTAAAATTGCGTACAGGGGATATATGAAGTGGTTGGAAAGGAATAAAGTCGAATTGGGGCTTCCTGGGCTTTCTTATACTCCTCGACAGTTGTTCTGGATTTCATCCGCCATCAATTTCTGCAGTAAATACAAGAAAGAAAGACTTAAACAAATCGTCACTTTGGGATATCATGCTCCTAATTATTTCCGAGTTGTGGTGCCCTTTATGAATTCGGATCATTTCGGAAGAGACTTTAATTGTCCCTTAGGGTCGCCCATGAACCCCAAATATAAGTGCAGGGTGTGGTAGAATCAGTCAATTTTCTGTTTTCAATATTTAATTATTAATTGTTGTCTAAACTGTAAAGATATAAGACCTGTTTTATAACCTTAATATAATATTACTAAAATTCAAATACAAAAATGGTGTTTTATTATTTACCCATTAAAAAAAAATCGGTGAAATAATTGAATGAAAACACGTGTTGGAATAATTATTGTATATTGTAAGTACTTTTGTAACTAAAAGTGTATGTAATTTTCTAACGTTTAATTATACTAAATTTTACTATAAAAATCAGTAGGTATACAAAATGTTCGTTAAGAAGTTATTTATTTAAACCGAAAAGCATAAAATATACATGATTTATTTTATTCGTAATTCATTACAAGATAATTAAAAATAACAATTTCAAAAGACCAACTTTATTGTTGTGGTTCGTAATTTATTACAAAATAATAAAAAACAACYATTTTAAAAGACTAACTTTATTGTATTGTTGTTGGCTACAAGTTGTGTAACAAAAGCAATGTAATCTTTTTACTAAACAACAAAAGGCTATAAAACTATTGAAGCTTTATAAGTAAACATGATTGTTAAAAGCAGAACTTAAAAGATTAAATATGAGACAAAAACTCAACTTATTATGTAGTGGGAGTTGAAAGCAGAAGAAATGTTGGTCATCAAGTTTGTAAAAAAAGCTTCAAGTCTCTCTTACAATAAGTATAAAATTACTCATAACTTATAACAATTAATTAAATTAACATAAATAATAATTTATATTGTGTGAAAAATAACTATTTTTGCATTTTTATTATACTTGTAAACATAATTTTACCATTTTATTTAATTTTATTTTAATTCAATTAGGTCTTACACAAAATTGTTTACAGAGTTTTTTTGATTACAAATGGAAAATAATTATACAAGTACTTTTTATTTCCATAACACTGGTAGAAAATCTGATAGCAGGTGTAAAACAATTCTGATAAATTTARCCTTTGTATCAATGCTAAATTTGACCATGATGGGCTTTTCCGGTGGGTCTCTCATTGTTATGCAATCCTATTTTTGGTTGATTTTGTTTTTAAATTAAATGTGATATCTACCATCGCTGGAAATCATTCTATAGGAACGATTATATCAGAGCAGAATTTTTCGCGACTTCTTATTCAGGTCGGCTCAAATGTTACACGCGCTTAATGAATGCCACCCATTGCACTAATGGTATTTATCACCATAATTGACAAAAGTACAAATGTACCATTAATTATTTTTTCTACACAATAAATTACATTAAAAACTTGCTGGTTGATCTTGCCACAACTATAAATAGATTCCAAACAGGTCAAATCATTATCATAAAAAATTCTCTCTTGCAGTATTCTGTTTGGGATGGTAATATCAATTAAGAGGTGCGAGCGCGAAGCAATGGTATACAAAAAAGTGCGTCTTTGAGTGCAGTATCTACCAAATCTCTGAGTGGTGTGTGTGTTTTAATTCATTGTCGATATGCCGCTCAGGTAAGTGTTCTAATTCTTTTSMTTTTTAAATGTTTGAAAGTGACACCGTTTTAAACTAGATYTAAAATAATTCTCCGTTTTATTTTACGAGTATTAATAACGAAACATTTTAGGCAGGACTCTTGGTGGAAGCGCAAAACTAAGCTGGAAAGAAAATTAATTGTTGTAGCTTTAGGGTCTTTGCTATTAGCCTCATTCTTATTAGTTTCGTTGATTTGCCACACAATTCGTAAGTATGTCATTGCATAAGTATTTTTAATACAAGTTTTTTCATATGTGACCCTTGAGCTGCCACAACTCTTCGGACAATTTTCCTAATCAATATAAATGTCATCCAAATCAATCATTTTTGACAGAACTATTAATTACGTTCTCGTAAATAATTTTTTTGATGCATTCCGGCATTAAATGAATTTTGTTTCATTTCTAAATGTATTGTTCATTATCACTATTTTAAAAAAAATTGCAGACTCTACATTCCTTGGATCTGATGATATTTGTCTAACTCGAGAATGTGTTCAAACCGCAGGAGAAGTCTTTCGAAACATGGACGAAAGTGTTAATCCTTGTGATGATTTCTATAGATTTGCATGTGGAAATTACATCAAACATTCATTAATATCAAACGATAAAACCTTTGCCAACACTTTTACTGTAATCAATGATTTACTTCAAGAACAAATAAAAATAGCACTAGAAGAGAAAAGTTGTAGTCGCGAACCTAAACCCTTCCAAACTGTCAAAAAGTATTACAGGGCGTGCAAAAATAAAAGTAAGTAGATTCAAAACTATGAAATATAAACTAGTGAAACGTCTCATAGTTTTCTTATTTTAAAATCTTCAGGTTTGGCTGAAAAATATGGATTAGACATTGCCAAAAAGCTTCTTGCTGACATCGGTGGTTGGCCCGTACTCAACGAYAATTGGGATGAATTTTCATTTAACTGGATATCAAATTTAAGATCTTTAAGAGAAACAGGATTATCTGTTAATTGTTTTTTGGATGTTTCAGTTGGACTTGATTTTAAACGTTCAACTCGCAGGCTGATCCAGGTTTTATTTTTGTCATAAATGAAACAATTTGATTCAATTTTTTCAGATTGATCAACCAGGTTTGGGTTTGAGTAGAGAATATTTAGTTAAGGGCGTCAATGATAAGATAGTCAAGGCTTATTATGAATATATGGTAGACATAGCTCAAATGTTTGGTGCTGACAGGAAGAAAGCACGCCAGGAACTTCTAGAAACGCTAAAATTCGAAATTAGACTAGCTAATGTAAAAAAAAACTTTTCTTCTTTCAGATCCCTAAAACTTTTAATTTTAGTTTTCACTTTCTCAAGAAGATAGACGAAATATAAGTAGCTTGTATAATTTACTGACGATTCAAGAATTGGAAATTAAGTATAAAAACATACCGTGGTTGGACCTTATTAATATTATTATGCCTACAAACGTTCAAGTTAACAAAAGTCAACCAGTACTAGTAGGAGTTCCTTATTTTTTAGGAGCTTTTGAGAAACTCATCTGTGAGACGCCGAAACGGTATKCTGACACTTTTTCAAAAAAAWTTATTACGAAATTTTTGCAGAGTTCAAGCTAATTACGTTATGTGGCGAGTAGTCAAGGACTTGATTTCGTATTTGAATCAAGAAGTACGAGATCGTGAATTAATTTTTAAACATGCTATCAATGGAATACAGGAGAGTCCTCCTAGATGGAAAGAGTGTATAGACGAGACGACAAGTTTGTAAGTTGACATAATGTAATCCAACTTTAACCAAAGAGAATTTGCGTAGATTACCAATTGTGATAGGAGCTATGTATGTCAGGAAATATTTTCATGTTGATGCCAAAACAAGTGCTCTCGAAATGGTGAAGTATATTAAAGAACAGTTTAAGGATATTTTGCAGTCAATCGATTGGATGGATGCTGAGACACGAAAAAGTGCTTTAGATAAAGCTAACACTATAGTAGATCATATTGCTTATCCAGATGAGTTACTTAATGATCGTAAAATTAGCCAATTATATGACGGGGTAATTTAAAAAAAATGGGAAAATGTCTTATAACTTTTGATTTTAGTTAGAAGTTGACGAAACTCAATTTTTGTATTCTGCTTTAAATATTAGCAAATTTGCAATGGATTACACTATGAGTCGACTTATAGAGCCAGTAAATAAGACAGATTGGAGGGAACACGGTTTTCCGGCTCAAGTTAACGCTTTTTACCACCCACTGGAAAACAGCATCAGTATAACAAGTGTTGTATGTTTTCCCAAAAATTTGTAATTTTTTTTAGCTTTTCCTGCCGGTATTCTTCAAGGAGTGTTTTTTCACAAAGACCGGCCAAGATATATGAATTTCGGCGCTGTCGGCTCGGTCATAGGTCACGAAATAACTCACGGTTTTGACGACACTGGTCGCCAGTTTGACAAAAACGGAAATCTAGTAAATTGGTGGAAAGAAGAAACCAAGACAAAATTTCTYGAGAAAGCCCAATGCATCATTAAACAATATAACAACTACACAGTTCCTGAAGTTAAAATGAAGGTATTATGTAATTAAAAAAAAACTGTTAAAAGAGAGGTATTGTAGTTGAATGGCGTAAGAACACAAGGTGAAAATATCGCCGACAACGGCGGGGTCAAGCAAGCGTATTTGGCCTACAAGAAGTGGCAGAGAAGCAATCCCCCCGAACCGAAATTGCCCGGCTTGAAGTATGACCCGAGACAATTATTCTGGGTGTCTGCTGCCCAAATTTGGTGTTCGAAACACCGRCCTGAAGCCATAGCCTTGCAAGTTACTGTAGATGCACATTCACCTGCCGAGTTTCGTGTTTTGGGACCGTTTAGCAATTCGGAATTTTTCGCCAAAGATTTTAACTGTCCGAAAGGTAGCAAGATGAACCCTGAGCATAAGTGCTCAGTGTGGTGAATAATTCGAAATTGTATTTCCAATAAAGTTTTAGTTTTATGATCTAGTTTTTGTATACACTTTTACGTTTTCAATAAAATTTCTATTGAATTACAAAGATGTTTAAATTTACATTTTGAAGAGTGTAAAAACAAACAATTATTACTTATTTGCTTCTCATTTTTTATCATATACATTACTTGTGTAATAAATTATTACTTAACAACATCGTCCTTTTAATGCTTCTTTTCCTTTTCTTTCATTTCCTGTTTTTTCATGTAATATATGTACAAATGTACAAAAACATAAACCTATTTATTATTTTTAACCAGAAATTTAACGTTCAACGACCGAAATAATAATAAATTTAATTTATTTTTAACTAGCAAAATAAATTCAAATAAGAATGAAAATAACTTATATCCTGAAACAGAAGACAAATAAATATGTTCATAAATCATAGATATATGACGCAAACTTTGACGTTGTAGTTGAATCCAACAATGTATTCACAAAGTCTTTATTGTGGAAATAAAGATTTAAAGCACGGCTGTTTTCATTACGATTATAATTAGAATTAAATAATTACTTAAATGTACTAATATAAATAAATATTGATATTTATTTATTTATGACCTTGAGGTCATTACTACATCCATTTAAATTGTTCTTCATTCCAATCAGGGCTTTCAATTACAGACTACCCTCTCAATTAATGTATTAATTGTTTGAATTTAGCAAGTGAGGCTGTCACAATTTTGACTGTATCCAAGTTTGGTATAATATTTTTAAAATTTTAAATATTTGTGAACGTGATAAGTTTTTCAAGTAAACTTTGCAGCAGTTTTTCTATTTGAACTCTGAAATTTTACTGACGTATTAAAATAGTAATGTTTTTGTAAACCGTCCTCTACGATAGATGACACGGACCTACGCTCTTTAGAAATATCTATATGTTTTATCCAATTCCTACAGACGAATTTGTAAAAGTCCTTGCTAGGATTGAGACAACAATTGAGACAATTTTTATTAGCATAAACGTTATGAGGATTCTGCTTGCACTCTATTTATTTCTATTGTCTATAATAACTCTTTTGATTCATAAATACATAATTCTATTTTACCGACATCTGAATAAACGCAAGCTAAATGTAATGCACGTTTTAGTGACACTGTGTTAATCTGGAATTATAGTTTCAGTTTCAAGCACGTTTGCCCCGAATTTGTAGTTTTTTTGTTGTCAACTCAACTTTTACTCGTACATTCACTTTTGCATAAAAAAATATTCTAGGCATTAGTTCAGTTTTATTAACAATAATATTTTTTTACCAAACATAGCACTTGTGTTTTGGGTTCATTTTAGAATTGTCATCACACTTGAAGTCCTCTATAAAATATTTAGAATTCATTAAAGGGACGTTAACTCTGTAACGACTTGGTGCGTGAATTTCTTGTAATATTGTTAATTTTAAGATTTCTTTTTTTTCCACTCTACACCACGTGTTGCCTACAGAAATCCAAAACATTTGTTGGGGAGTGAATGGTAAACCGGGAAGTACAGATTCAGGACCATTTTTTTTAATCCATTCTTTATATGCCAAATACGCAAGTTTTATTCCAGCATTATCAGCGATATTTTCTCCTTGCGTGTGCCCACCATTTAACTAAAAATTTTATCAAATAAAGACACTAATAATAAAATTGTAACAATTTACATTTAAGCCAACTTCTGGTTCTGTTATGTTCCCATATTGGTCGATAATACATCGTGCTTTAGAATCAAAAGCTTCTTTGGTTTCTGGTTTCCACCAGTTGACAAGATTGCCTTCTTTGTTATATTGTCTACCAACATCGTCAAAACCGTGCGTTATTTCGTGACCTACGATATGGCCAATAGCTCCATAATTCATATATTTTGGTCTAGTCTCATTAAAGAAGACGTTTCGTAAGATACCCGCCAAAAATTCTGAAAAATTTTCTTACAAAAAAATTAAATTTGGATTTTTTTACCTATGCTGTTTTCACTAGTGTCGTAAAAAGCTTGAACTAAAGCAACATAAGCGTGATTACGCCAGTCTTTTTTATCTAAAAATTTATCCAACTCTTGATAGTCAATTTCAGCACTGAACAAAGATATGTTAAGTCTACATCCCAGATAATCGGAAGGATCTAAAGTAAGCTAAAAACCAAAAAGCTAAAAACTTTCTTACATATTTTCTAATTATTACTTACGTTTTTGTAATAGATTTCCAATTTTTGCTCATCCAACAACTCATCCGGATAAGCCATATGAAGATGTATAGCTTCGGCTTTGGCCAATGCATGTTTTTTAGTCGCATCGTCCATCCAATCTACGGTTTTTAGTGTTTTAACGAACTCATCTCTAATGTTATTAACTATTTCAGCCACTTCTTTTTTGGCCTTTTCATTGAAAAAGTTTTTAACAAAAAGTACTCCACTGGCTACGTACAACCTGTAATCAATTATTCTCAAGGCGAAAGTAGCATCCTGTAGGTTGTTTATAAACATAAACAATTCAGTGGTGTTAAAGGTCAAATGACTAGTATGCATCTTCATACGTAAAATWTAAAAATAAGTTTTACCTAATGCATAGCTGAGTGCATTCTTTGATTCTCGGGGGACGCTTATCGAGGCCAAACGCAACTTTATAAACTTCCAGTTCTAAATTTCTCAGCTCGTCATTTAGATATGTTACATACTCCTGAATTTTCGACCAAAACATGTAATTAGCCAAAGTCCTACAATTCTAGATTTATTAAATTAATCAAAAATATTTGAACCAAGTACCTTTTTGACGTATTTCTTAAAATATCTTGCAGTTTTTCATAATATGAAGGTATTTTAACCACTACTATACTATTGGGCGTCATTTTCTGATACGGATTTAACATTGTGTTAATATACTCCAACCACGGTATATAACCGTATCGACTTCCTAATTCGCTAATAGTCATTGGATTATTTTCCAGTGATTGGTTGTGGCGCTCCTCTGCAGGTACTGTAATCTTTAAAAGTGTTTAAAATAAAATTCACTAAAAAATTAGTTTACCTTAGTTAAGGTAACAATTAATTCTGCTACTTCTCTCATTTCTTCTGTTGCAGCTTTCTCATCAGCACCAAAAACCATAGCTACTTTTTTCATATAATTGTAAAAAGCTTGAAAAASCGTTTCATTAAATCCATTTCTTTTGATTTTGTCTAACTTGACATCAATTTGGTCTAACTGAGGTGAAATAAATGTAAAAAAGGCTCWATGAGATCAAAAGGACTTACAAACAGTGCGTATCTGGACGAATTCGAGATATCTGCCCCGATAACAAAGTTGAGAAACATATCAGGAGTCATTCCCATCTTCATGAATTTGTAACTTGTTGCTATCCAGTCGAATTCATTTTCATTCCAATCCCCGCCTTCAGTTACAGGCCACCCTCCTAATTGTTTCATTAGATGTTTAAATTTAATCAATGAATTTGCCTCAATTTCGTCTGTATCCATGCAAGCTTGATATAGTGTTTTAACAAGAATAATAGGCTTAATATCCGTTGATGTGATCGGTTTTTTCAGTATACTTTGCATCAGTTCTTCAACTTCATCCCTGGAATTTTATGGCCGTATTAAAATCGCAACGTTCGCTTAAAATCATACTCCACGATACTAAAGGACGATATCATCGCCTTGTCTTCAGGAATGACTGTATTTTTTATGAAATTCCCACAGGCAAAGTTGTAGAAGTCCTCGCAAGGGTTGACGTTTAAATCGACCTTTTCCAACACTTGGGCCGCTGTTTTAACACAGTCAGGGGTGAGACATATGTCATGAGAGCCATACTTGCAGCCTAAAATTTAAGAGGGACGCTCGTAAAACGTTGGTACATGAGCAATTTTATTTCACCTTCGTTTGAGTGAACTACCGCAAAATTTACAGCAAGTACTATTATTATTAGCATGATTAACATTGCGATGACTACGAGAAGCGTCTTCTCGGTTCGCGAACGTCTTCGCCACCATGGTGGATTTCTGAAATATTTGCAATAAAAAAAATTGTTGCTGTGGAATTTCTTACTGGATTTTTAAAGTCGTCTCAGTCATTTTGGAGCACGTCTAACAGGTTTGTATACATCTCGTGTTTGTAACTTGTTTACTGTCAATTCAACTTTTAAATTCATTCTCATGCGAGATGATCTAACGATTTGTTTTGCGGTTGGGGGAAAACAACGCTTTTAATACGTATTGGAGAGGTTCGTATCAAGAAGGTATGTCTGGTTTTAGCAGGTGAATCAATGGATAAACACCGAAACGATTTTATTTCAACAAACCTGCTTGACTAGTGAAATGTCTGCAACCTTTTATTTATTAATTAGTTTATAAACAAAACTAGTTAATAGTAATAAAGTATTAATTTAATTCTTTAAAATTTATTATTCAGTTTAAAACAAAATAATTATAATATTCAAAACCATAACAGTAGATGTGCTACCTGAGATTTTTCATATTTTGACCCAGAATTATTGCCAATGACACAAATAAACATGTTATAGATTCGGCAGATTTTGCACTACTTATTCTTTTTGTTTTAAAAAACATCTGTGAATTCATGATTTGAGAGAATAAAAGCCTAAAAAATGGTTCTATTGGTGAAGAAATGTATTTAATTGACTGGTCTGCCTGCCAGCCGGATTAGAATCCATTGCAAAATCTTTGCTTTGATAAAGATTTTGCAATGGATTAAGATTTTTACCAAAATTGACATTTATCTTTTGGATTCATTGGCGACCCAACCGGACAATTAAAATGTTTGGCAAAATACTCTGAATCTATAAGCGGTACATTGACCCTATAACGATTCGGTGAATGGTCACTTGTAACACCATACATTATTTCTTTTTGTTTTGCAATTTTACACCAAACAGTCGCAAGAGAAATCTAAAACATTTGTTCTGGTGTGTATGTTAGTCCTGGCAATGCTTTCTCCAAGTGATGCTCATAAACCCATTTTTTGTATGCTAAATATGCTACTTCAACAGCTCCATTATCAGCTATACTTTCACTTAGAGTTAAGTTGCCGTCTAACTGCAAAGAAACAATTAAACCAAGTCACACACCCGTTAATCAGAGTAACATCACATTTAAATTTATTTCTGGAATTTTGATATTGCTAAATTGATCAACAAGACATTGAGATTTTGCTTTGTAAGCTGATTGTGTTTTAGGTTGCCACCAGTTTCCCAAATTTCCATCTTTATCGTAATTTCGACCTGTGTCATCGAAACCATGACTGATTTCATGACCTATAATGTATCCCATAGCACCATAATTGACGTACTTAAGAAATTAAAAACTGAAAATTATTTAAAGAAACTCAAAGAAATTGCTCACAGTTCTAATTCTGAGTTTTGCTCAAAAAGTGAACGAGAAGGTAGATTCATTTTCTCGTCGGAACTAATTCAGTGATTTTGACAAGAAAAACGAACAAAGAGTGACAAGAGGTGACAGGACTACGTGAATCTCAAAAATCAATTATTAAAATGTACATTTTTTTTCGATATTTGGTTAAAAGTAAAATAAGATTTATATTTAAAATTTTTTATTGTGACACAAACGATATAAAATTTATTAAGAGTATTTTCATATAGATAATATAATGCTAAACAATCCATACACAATTTAACAACAACAATTTATAAGTTTACACCGAATATGATCAACAGTATTCAAGCTTACATAATAAAAATTGAAAATGAGTGACTAGAAAAATGCTGTTTTCTTGAACAATTTAGTCAAATAAATGCGAAAAATAAAGTTTTGGCAAATTGACTGGAGAATCCACCTCCTAATACTGTTTTTCTTTATTCAAAAATACATTTACCAAACATGGCATTTCCGTTTTGGATTCATCGGCGATCCAACCGGACAATTAAAATCTTTAGCAAAGTACTCTGAATTCATAAGCGGCACATTAACTCTATAATAACTCGGCGAATGGGCCCGGTCCATAACACTAATTTTTAATTCTTCCCTCCTCTCCACATCACACCAAGTATTCCCAGCAGAAATCCAAAACATTTGCTCGGGTGTGTATGGTAGTCCCGGCAATGCTTTTTCCGAGTGATGTTTATGAGCCCATTTCTTGTATGCTAAATATGCTTGTTTAATGCCCCCATTATCAGCTATATTCTCGCCTTGAGTGTTGATGCCGTTCAACTGCAAAGAGAAAATGAAACAAAGTTTACACCCTACTTTATCCTCTTACGTTTAAATTTATATCGGGAACGGTGATATTGCTGTATTGGTCAATAATACACTGAGCTTTCGCTTCGAAAGCCGATTGCGTCTTAGGTTGCCACCAATCGACCAAATTTCCATCTTTATCATATTGTCGACCCGAGTCATCGAAACCGTGAGTGATTTCGTGACCGATTATATACCCTATGGCGCCATAATTCATGTATTGCGGGCGGTTGTTGTCGAAGAAGACGCCCTGCAAAATACTCGCAGGAAATTCTACGCCAATTAGTGTCGGGTTTGTGGATGGCCGGAGGGTAACCCTATTTCGAAATTGCAAAGAACTGAGGCAAAACTTTAGTTTATGTGCAGTAAACATAAACAATCACTGCTGCAGCAGGACTAGCTATTTTGTAAATATTTTATCTACGAATGTTAAATAAGTAATAACGTTTTTATAGGCGTATCCATACACATTTGTAACGAATATTAAGTCAGTGTTTTAAGAAATATAGACATTTTTTGAAAAACTGTAAGACTTGTTTCATCCTATACATAAAAGAATTGGTTCCAAAAAATCTTATGTACATTCTACATTCACTTTTATTTTCATTGTGTGTTTAGCCAATGTATTAGTAATAGATTTTTCAATTTTTCTTAAATTTTAAGGTACTATTTATAAAATATAAAATTTATATTTTGATATGTAATGTAATTTTAAAATTAACTTTTAAGAAATAACATTCTTACATATTTTAGTTAACAAAGTTTATAGAAAATATGTTTTAGTAATAATTTTATAATTTTTGCAAAAAAATGAAGAAGCCGCTTTTGGTTTCGGAATAGATTTACCCCCCTCGCCCATCGTACCTATATTATTTCCATTTTGGTCATAAAATGCATTAGTCACCACCGCGAAGGAATGTTCTCTCCAATCCTTTTTATTTACTCGTTCATTCAACTTCGCATAAGAAATTCTCCAGGAATGGAGAGTTACGTTTTGCATCGATTCTAAATACTTCAAATGATTAACGGTCAACTGAAAATCAATTTTGTTTAATAAATCATAAAATTTAATTAGTCTAACATTTTGGTAGTAGTTGTCGATTATTGTATTGTTCAGTAATTCATCAGGATATGCTATGTGTGCTTCCATTACTTTTGCCTTTTCTATGGCATGTTTTCGGGTGACTTCATCCATCCAAACCACTTTTTTCAAAATATCCATGAACTGGTCCTGAATATTGTTTATTATTTCGACCATGGTCTTTTTAGCTTCTTCTTTGAAAAAGTGGCGGACGTAAAGGGCACTACTGGCGACGTGAAGACGGCTAAGAAGAAATAACAAAAATAGCACTCCTATAAAACGGAGGGCTTGTTACCTTTTAACTTTTTGAACACATTCTTTCCATCTAGGCTCACGCTCTGTTCTTCCAGACACAGCTTTAACAAAATCCATCTGTAAGGCCCTTAGGTCATCGCTCATGTACTGGATAAGACCTTTAATTCCTTTCCAAAATATAAAATTTGCCATGGTCCTAAAATTTTATTCACACAAATTGAAAATGTCTAGAGTGTTTTTTTACTGTTTTGGTGTGCTTCTAATAATTTTTTCAAGTTCTTTAAAGTACTGGGGAAGTGTTACTGTAATGTTATCATCGTACGTCATAGTTTTAACTGGGTCTAACATTGTGTTTATGTACTGCAACCACGGAACGTAAGGAAATTCTTTCTCCAAGTCTTTAATCGAGTATTTATTGTCCTCAAGGGAAGAATTGCGTCTTTTCTCTGACGGTACTGTAATCTTAAGAAAATATTTTGTAATTGTTTAATTTTTTTTTGACTCACTCGTGTAATAGCAATATCTAAATCGATAACATCTCGCATGTGTCTCTTAGCTCTTTCTTCTTCAGCCCCAAACGCTATTGCTATTTTCGACATGTATACATGATATGCTTGAACAATACTCTCATTGTAGCCTCGTCTCATCAATTTATCAAATGAGACAATAAATGGTTGGTCCAGCTAATAACAGTTTTTCATTTTTTCATTTTTAAAAATCATTTATTAAAAAACTGACCAGAAGTGTATATTTGGTGGAATCCTTTTCTTCCGGGAGGACATTAAACTCGAAAAAAATATCATACTCCATCCCCATTTTCATGAACTCGTATATCGTGGCCGTCCAATCAAACGTCCTCTCGTTCCACTTGAACCCTTCAACCACCGGCCATCCACCAATACCCTTAATGGTCTTTTTAACATTTTCCAATGCATGAGCCGCGATTTCCGTAGTGTTGATGCAAGCTTGGTAAATAGATTTAACGAGAACAAAAGCTCGAGCGTCCGTGTCTTGGATGGGTTTCTCTAGCAGTGTTCGCATTTGCTCATCTACCATATCGCTGAAATCCCACGTATTAAACCGTAAATTATTCAAAAACTCGGCCAAACCCGCACCTTACAATGGAGAATGATGATATACTGGTCTTGTATTGAGGAAGGACCGTATTTTTTATGAAATTCCCGCATGCAAACTTGTAAAAGTCCTGACAGGGGTTGATATTTAAATCTACTTTTTCGAGGACTTTGGCTGCAGTTTGGACACAATCAGGGGTGAAACATACTTGAGAATCAATTTTTGCTGGAAATRTACGTTAAGGGTTTAGACGACAGCCGATTTGATTGCTACCTGATAACTTCACGGCTAGGATGATTATTATGATGACTACAAGGATGGCAAGGAGCAGTAAGAGCCATTTTTCCATGCGAGTGCGTCTTTTCCACCATGACGAGTGCCTGCAATCACGTTAWTTAGTGCAAACTCTGATTTAACAATATGTAGGAAGCTTAAATTACTTGAATTAAGATTGATGCTCCTTTAAATATCATTCTTAAAATTAATGTTTTTAAAACGTTTCCACCTCACTAGCTCGTAATAAGTTAAAATGTTTACAATTTTAACTGATTTGAATTACAAAATGGCTTAAAAATAAAATCTAACGCTTATTATGGGTCAAGATGCTATTAAAATTATTTATTGAAGTGTAAAATGGCTTTATATTGTGATTTATCTAAACAGGCAATAAATCTGCTTATTTGCACAATAGTTCAATGGTTTGCGTCATAAGGGCAATTTATGATGCTGTATAGGCGGCAATATAAGCGCTACCTCGCTTTTTATGACAGGATTTTCTAATTAAATACTGTACATTCATATTGCTAATCACGCTCTGAATGTTTGTTTGTTTACATTTTAAATGACATCGGCTTATTTAGTTTTAATTAATGATTTAATTTGAACCTGAGTGATCAATGATATAATTGGGCGTGAAGAGTTGATGGAAATATTACATGATACAGCTTGTTATGTGCTGAATTAATAACTGAGTATTTTCTATTTTTGTTCCAGCTTTTGTAAGAGTTTCTAAAAAGTTACAGATTGATGTGTAGAGTAAAAAAGTAAAAAACAAAAACTGGCGGATTTACGTTTTTAATTAATTTTTGCAAAAAATCATAAAAAATATTTGTCATCTATCTATTAAAACCACTATCAAAAATACTCATGTAAACTATCAGTGTTACGTCTAAAAATTTGTAATAGTTTGAAATCAAAATAATATGTATTTTTGAGAAAAATTTTGCATTATTCCAAAAACTTATTGAATATTCCGATGAATACAGTTTAATTATTATTATTACTTTTTGGAGTTTTTTAAAAATGATGTTTATTGTTTTCTTTACTGTTGTATAGTTTTATAAACATATTTWAGAAAATAGTAAAATACCCATTGGTTTTATGTAAATGTTTTTGTTACAAATTTTGTATTTCTAATTTAAAACCTGTTGCTTCTAAAGTTTGATAACAAACTGTGAATAACATTTTCAATTATTTCTGACAAGCTTCAATTATCTTTGAGTAAATTTGACTTATATTGCAATTTAAAAACTCAGGTTTGCTTTATACAGTAAAACAAATAACGGTGCAATACTAAAAAAATCTAAATGAAAGGTCTTAACGCAATCTATATGTGGCCAAAGTTGGAAATAATCGTCGTGCGTTTTTTACCTATTAATTTAAAAATGATATAAGATACGACCTTGTCACCAGTTAAAAGGTTCAGACATTTAAATAAGAAGTTAAATAACTGTTTAAATTAATTTAAAAATGACATACTTTCAATCCTTTGCCATTGAAATTTGTGGCCTTAAGCAGACGTTTTAGTCAAAAATGTTAATGAAACAAGTAATAATGTAAAACCGGTTGATATATCGATGAAACAATAATTAAAGTATAATCGTAATTTATTGGTAAAATGAAAACAATTTTCGCAATTAATTGTCAATTTATTTAGAGTAAAATCAGTTTCGATATATTTTGCTAAACTGTGTGTTCGCTTGCGACAAAATGTGCCATAAATATGTCAACATTTATTTACAACTTTGTAAAATATGGATAATATTTTTACAGYGCATAAAACTTACTTTGCTTTTGAGTTTTGTTCATTTATCATTGTTCGCTATCAGCACCACTTAATTGTAACATTTGCAAAATTCTGTTCTGTAGCCACTGACACACTTGGTACTTGTACACGGAATGGCTATAGAATGAATCAATTTAACTCAATCCCACTCCAAGCCATGTGTATAATTTTGTATATATTCTCTACAACTCTTAAAAATACTCATCACTCTAAATAAACGATTTGCCACCATTTATGTGATTTGTTTGAGAAAAATGTTTTTGCGTGTGAGGTAGTTGTTACTCTGATGCGGTAATAATAGTGGAKTTGCAATAAAATTWGCATAGTATGTATCTAGGTCTATACAATTACAGAGCTCGTGTTAGTCGAATATTATTATAGGAACATAGCATAGAATCTGCCATTTTAAACCACACAAACTGCATTAATTTCGCCCGTGACAGTACCAAGGATACTCTTTTATTAACTTCACTTGTGTAAATATATTATGGTTTTAATTAACTTACCTTAATTTGCTCCAAATTCAACAATAGTTGCTTTCAATTAAAAATAATTAATCTTACTTGGGTTGAGAGAAAAAAGTTATAAAAATGCTATATGTCATGTTGATTATCTTTCAAGGAAAATAAAGTTGTACATACGTAAAAAACGCTGAAATATTATTACACAGACATTTCTGCTTTATTTCACTCGAAGATACTCGTAACACACTTACGGTTGCTTTTCTTTGCGCGGCTAAAATAAATGATATTAAACAAAACAAAATTCTACGAGAGATTCAATTTTCTAATTGGGAGGAACGCTTTACCACCTACATTTTTTGATAAATTTAATGTAGCCCTGTGATAAAAAGTACATTTTTAGACGCTCTGAGTGGGCTTTTCCTGATCAAACTTCTTGAACAGTTTTGCATTTTTTAATTTAAGTTTTAAATTAAGGCTTTTACTTGTAATAATTATTATGGAAGGAATTATAATTAGACCAGAGGTTGCTAGTTGGGATAATTTGAAGGATAAACAAAGTTAATATTATTTTCTCAAATAAATTAAAAACTTAAAAAGGTAATAAAAGGCTAGTCTATATTTATGCAGCCATTAAAAAATTTGTGTTGCAAAATACAAATTAATGTACAATTTATAAAATATATACTTACATGACTACCCAGTTTAAAGCCTATTGAATGAACTATAACTAAATACCGATATACAAAGCCTGGCCTTATTTTACTGCAAGTTCCACTCTTTGACTCTTACGAAACATTTGCGGTTTTACCTTTTTCTAGTAAATAAATATAATGAATATTTAAAATTGTGTTCAGCTTGACTAAATATCTTATTTTAGGAAAAATGATTCAAGTGTGTTTTTTTACATTTTGTATTTTATTTATTAGACAAAATAAATAGTTAAGTTTCCCAAAATTTRGTTATCACTGATAAAAGTTTCTAAATACCATTTTTGCTCAACTTACGTCATTTTCAGAGTAAGTCTATGTTTACTAACATAATAAATCTGCTAGTAATTTAATAAAATAAAATGTCTTTATAAATAATCAATAAATTGATCAATRGTTATTTTATAAGGTTTATGTTTGTAAACAGCTAATCTAATTAATGGGGAGTTGCTACAGCTCACAACATATTAAAGTAGACAAACTTTCCACACATTCGGTTTATGGGTCAAAAAAACGTCACCGAAAATTAAATTAGAGTGTTTTATACGCCTGTAATATGAAAGAAAATTACACGTAGTTTTCAAATAAATTAGTTTAGTAATTTATTATTGCTGTGACTTTGTATGTTTGTAAATACATGAATATGTAATTTGTGGCACAATTATAGTTGTTGTCTAATAATGCAAAATGGTTTGAAAAATTAACTTTAAATGCAGGTGTATACATAGTAAATGCATTTTTATTACTTGCTAATAATTATTTCATTTTTCAGCTTTAATTTTTCATTAGATTTCCGCCTCATAACGGTAAATAAACAAATTTATGTTATGAAAAGGAAATACGTTAATTAATTAAAACGATACAAAAGTAACCAACAATGAAACACACACGTAAGCATATAAAAATTTGTATAGATATGAGATATTTTGTTTGTCTCATTTTATCATTTTTAATTAAACCTAACATATTTTATATTATTTCAACTACAATAAAATTGGGTTTAATAACTTCCTTTAGTATTAAAAATTTACTCAAAATCTTCGTGTTGAAATAAACTGCTAAAATTGTTATACTTATCGCGGCAATCTGTTAAACCAACAGAACAAGCAATTTATTTCACTGTGGTGACTTAGCCATTATAATTAAAAAGTGCTTTCACATTTATTTATGAGATTAATATCAATGATTTGTAACGCGCTAATAAATCAAGCGTAAACTCAATATCAAGTTTACTATTTTCAAACTCTGATAATTCACCAATATTTTATTATTTTTTTTCACTGAAATAACTCGTGGAAATTTTGGCCAAACAAACTTTAGAAAAACAGTAGCTCGAAACTTTGAGGACTTTGAATTATGGGCCATAAATTTGAATGCCGGTCCACTACGTTTGCTCCAGTTAAACCGAGTGGTAATAAGTAGATGAAGAAATGATAGATACATTTTCTTTGGGAAGTTAATTGAGAAAATGACAGTAGGGAGTGTCTGACCTCTGCATAATAAAACTACATTCAATGTATTATTTATAAATGAAGACATGACGAGTAATGGAAGAAATACCGATGCGTTCGCGATAAGTAAACAGAATTAATAGGAAAAAGAAAAGTCTTAACGTGTATTGCACAAGTTTTATTACCTGATATMACAAAACTCGTGTAAACATCTATTCCAAAAAGTATATTGTGAACATATAAACATTTTCTATATAAATAAAAAAAATTAAATAGCTTTATTGTTAATTCAGAATAAGTTGCCTTTCTTCTTAAACTTCTTCTCCGACTGTTCTAGATTATTCAGCGCGCAGCTGAAATACCTCAGCATAATATAGCTGACGTGTTTTAAATAATTTACCTACCCCTCGAAAAGAAATGAGATTGACAGTAGATTTTTGCGAGTTGCAATATCTCTTTGCCTCATATTGATATTTTATGTGACCACGATTGAAATATTTTTTTGCAATAGTTCTTTCTTTATTAAGAACTATTTCTTGTTGAATGGGTCGAAGGCAGAGCGTGCGCATTGTTATTCGGATAGTATGAATACCGCGTATATAAATGTAAGGGCGCTTACGACGCTGTCTCAGTTGTAATCGCGTCGCGACGCGAATATAAACTTACCGGAATCCCACTGTTTCCAGGTGTTTCCCCTAATACGTGTCGACAAAGCGCCCACCAAGGACCACGTTGTATGTTCACAATGTAAATTGGTGTGTTGTTTAGATTGCATGATCGACAAAAAATATTTACAAAAGGGGATTTGCATGCGAAAATTACCACTTGCACGTGACACTTTGTAGATTTCTAAATCCGGATTGTGAGGAGCTAATAAATTTCATGATCGGGAAATTTAAGCCCATTGAAAGTTAATTCAAGGGATCATGACAATAATTAAACTTGTCGGAGAATAAATTAAGAAACTTGCAAGAAACTTTCAATTATGCGACGAATTACTATGACAAATTAGTGTACAGTAGTTGGTAATTAGTGAGACTGAAGGCATTGAAAGCTCTGTTCGTTAGTAGGTTTTCAACTATTTTAATCAAATCTTTTGTCTCTGTTGAATTTGTTTTATGCTTTGCTCAAGAAAAGGACAGTCGGCTTAACCCAACTAGCAATATTCTTCCTGAAACTAATGAATTCTACTCTGTTCGCTTGATCGATTCTTTAATTACGTGGCTAGACTACAAGATTTCCCATATTGCTGTCTTTTAATTAAAAACTTGGTAAAATCGACCTAAATTTACTTTAAAAATAATTAATAAACTCAACTTAGCGTAGCCACGCCGCGCCGCTAAGGTGTCAATTGTTCCAAATATAAACACCAGAATCGCATTCAGCATTACAAGAAATACAAACAAATCTTTGACGTCTTTGTTGCAACACTATCACAATAAGTTTAGTTAATTGAAACTCACGAAAAGTTAAAAAGTAATAACGTTAGCAAATAAGCTTCTAATTGCATCTTGTTTAAGAGGAGCATAAAGTGAAGGAACTACAGTGTAAACTTTAATGACTAGAGGAAACAACCAGTTTTTCTTAAAGATAATTAAGTTGCTTTTATAATTAAAACTCTAAGCAGTACAAGTAATTACATTGTAATAACTATTTTAATGAAGAGGAATAATTAATTATTCTCTCTTCTCGATTGCATTTTTGGCGGAGGCGCCGGAAAATTCCGAGCGTCTTGAGTCGAAGGTTAATAGGGACCGCAACGGAGAAATTGAGTCGAGAGAATATGCACCTTAATCAGCACTAGTCGAAAATGCGATCAGTGGAAAAGTGCACGTCGGTAATGAGTATTTTCGAAAAAATTGCCACAGACAAGTCGAAGAAGAATTCTCGTTTGTTTCGCGAACACATAACGAGTTCAGGCGAAATCAACTCCTTTTTGTTGGGCTGCAGCAATAAAAAACCACCAAACAGCTAACGAACACGGCTAAAATCTAAGAGATGTGTATCGAAGTGTGAAAGAGCTGGGTGAGGATAATAAACTATCGATGTGTATCTCTAAATCGTAGAAAAAAAACGTAAAGTACGAAGCTTTTATGGAGGCTTCGATAAATCCGGTTTTGGGCTTTCCGGACGTGCATAATTTAAGCAGGAGCTAGTTTTTGAGTGGGTGGCAATTTTGGTTTGCATAATGCTTATGATGTTTAAGGAATAATAAATTTTTGATAAAATTTTTCAAATATATAAAAAAATACTTTTTGTAAATTTGTTTTTTGTAATTCGTTACTAATTTTTAAAAAAATGCTGGAATAAAACACTGGTAGGTATTATAAGTTTCAACAATTTCAGACTGTTTCACAAAATATTCAGCATTTTTATATTTATTTTTATGAAAAACACAATTTCCAATAATAAATTGATTAAATTGTGAAAAAACAGAAAAGTAAAAATAATACTGCAAGCTTGTTAACTTTATAATTTTAAGATGGTGCACGGATATGTTAAATATATAACTTAATGTTTTGAAACAACATAGTTTTTTATGGGCTATTGCCCATATATAAATCTATAACGATCGGTTATTTTTTGGAAAGGAACAATATTTACATTGACTTGACTCGACCCAAGATCAACAACTTTGCGTATCCTCCAAAAACACCAATTTGAATTTTCGGAAAGTTCGCGTGCCATGTTAGGACTCCACATTTACATTTGGTACTAAGACAATAAATTTGCGTTCAATAATTTCGTGAGTGATCTGGCAATGTGGGAGATTCTCTCGGTCGATACGAACCCACATAAAATTCAACTTGTATCATGGTAGTTGAGTTAAATTTCTCAAGAAATTTCCACACAATATTTTATATGTGGGATTTATGAGCATACAATCTACTTTAATCCATGTGTTTCCCTACTTTCTACCGGTTATGACGTCATCAGATCATCATAAATGTTAAATGTTGGGGTGGATCTGCAAACTGAGCTGTGAGGGTCGCTAGAACGTCATCAATCTTTGTCGTGAATAAAAATTGATTTCTTAGAAGTGACACCTTAACGCCGACCGAAATGTTAACTTAGCCATTAGCGACTGTATTTTAGTTATAATTTAACAGATTTAACGGAGCTCCGGGAATATTGTAATAGAAGCGGCGACGTGACGTCACGAGAAGTAAGCTTTCATTTAATATGGCTTTGACACGTTTTGCTCAAGTGCTCACAGCTAGTACTCGCCCTTTCCTTGTTATTATAATTGTGGATTCGTCCTTTTGAAACGCTCTGGAGAATGTCTTTCGAAGAGTAATTTAACTGATTATGATTGCGATAGTTTCCATTTCGAGGAGGCACGAATGATTTTCTTGTCGAGAATTTAAATGACAGTCAACTAACGATTTTGGCGCGACAACACCCTCTCAGGCTTTTCAGCAATGGACAAGAAAATTCAATATTAACTCCTGGGATAGAACTCCACTTTTTCGCTTTTGTCTTTAACCATCCCTCCTGTTATTCGAGAGGGTGCATTCGAAATAGACAACGGGGAAAATTCGATGACTTTAACTTGAGATATTTTCGTGATGGCTGCAAGGTTGGAATAAGCTGTCATAAATGTTCCTTAAATCTCCATCTACTTCGGATTTCCTATTGTTTTAGAGACAAAYTTGTGGTTGTGCTTGCTTATCTGATATTTGAATTTATACAGAGCAAAATACGAGTAATACTTGTATTTTATCATACACGGAGAAGCAAAGTAAATTTAAACTTAGGGAACAAAAAATTAAATTCAGTCCAAATTTAATAAAACTCTTTATACAAGAACTATAAATGTCTGATTTAGAATGAAATCCTTGACAAGGAGTGACAACTCAATAGAAAATTCATATATTCTTTGATTTGTGCCAGTTAGAGACGAGTCACGAAAAGATGTTAACTGGGAAGTATACTATCTATAGTTACCCGTTTGTATTACATCATGTAACAGCCAAATTTTATTCAAGGTTGCAACACATAACAAATTTTATGCAGCTGTTGAGCGCATTTTTTGTTTGCAATAATTTATTAAGAATATTTTTGATGAGTTAGATCATATAACATTTTGCTAATAAAACTTTTTTTCTAAGACATTTTTAGAGAGTTCTGGTTTTCTTCATATTCATTATAATAAATGATGTAAAATAAGCAATAAAGTAAAAGTAAAAACCTTATTGTAATAATAAAATGCTTGTTTCATTTTAATTACTTAACAAACTAAACCACGATAATTAATAATTTAATTTGTTCTGCAGAGCATTTATATTATTCAATTCTAGTATTATGCTTAGTTTAACTCTAGACAAAACTTCTGTTTTTCTACTCTACTAAAATCAAACTTCTGTAGTATTTTTATTAATGGCGTCTGAATGTTGTTATAAAGTCACAGTTTTACGTTCATTTCATTTTAAAATCATTTAATTTATATTTTACTTTCGTCAGTCAACAAAACAGAGTGTTCAAGAGCAGTGGCGATAAAACTGCACTTACGTGTCAAATAGTGTTTGAAATATCATACAGTGATCGATAAGCCCTRTTTCAAAGACAAAATACCAATCTACTTCTCTAAAATATTATCAAGTTATTAATAATAAAAAGAAAGGAATTTTGCCTTAGACGCTGCACCCTCCATTATGAAATACCTATAAAATTCAAAAGCAATAAAATCGAATTTGGCGGAGGTTTTCTTTGCCGAATGATTATGCCCTTATTGTTTTCTCATCATCTTTGATGTTCACGTGCATTTTGTATCAGCGTACGCGAGGTCGTTGTATTACTGCAGTTTACATTTTCTAAAGCTCTTCAGAGGTTTATCATCGTTTAAAGCGTTGTTTGTTGTAGTTTCATATGTGATTACGGAAAAACACTTATATAGTAATTGCTAAAAGGGCAGAAACACAAGACGAGTTTATGTCAGGATATTTGTGGGGGAATTATGTAGCAAGTTCAATCCTAACGACACCTTATTTGTAATTTTAGTAGCGCTATAAAATTCGAGTCGACAAGTTAGCGCATTTGCAAGAAAGAGCAGTTAGAAAGACACATTTCAATAGATTTACATTTTTTATCAAGAAATCGTAACAAGAAACTTTTCCAGTTTCTGTTTCGTGAAAACAAGAGTGCCAACATAAAACACACAATAAAGCCAACCACCCCATAACTAATTTAGTTTGGAGACAGAGGGGTTGTAGGCCCAGTCGAAATGTGCATCAGACATGCAATTTGATTTTGTTTCCTAGCAACGCCCAGACGTTGGCTATTAGGTGTAAGAAATTTATATTGAAATTGCAAATTGGTCAGATTATTATCGATTATCTCGGTGAAGTAGTGCTTCTATAGAGATATAGATGGACGTTCCTTTTAAAGAATTCAATTTACAACGGCGGCGGACTTCGTTTATTCTTTTATTAAAATGTAAAGCGACGCCAAAGACAATTTTAAAAATTCCATTTTATTAAAGCTAAGCAAATACACATGCATTGTGGCAGATATTATATGTACGCTTGGATATTATGAAGCTCGAGTTTGTTTAAAGTTGGGTGTTATTTGATATCAGATCTAATAATGGGCCCAGTGTGGCGTCGGAATATAACGTTTTTGCCGCTTTACCCTGACATTCGGTATTACTGTTTTATTTAGGAACCGACATGTGATTTGCGTTGCAAGGATGCTTCAGAAATGCAGATGTTAATATTTTATACACTTTTCATAATTATAAAATTATTAAACTAAAAAAACTTGGAACCTATGCCTATCTAGAGAAAAAAATCACTCACACCTCCGAAACTGTCACAAATTCTCTAGAATGTTRTGTGCATTATTTCTTACTGTCACTACTACTTCGTTTCATACATACATAACATCCTAAATTTTCTGGAACAATCAGTTGCTGTCTCTACTTAATTCGATTTGTTCTTAATTCAAGCGGTTTGGATGTAGCGATTGCTCTAACTTTACTAATATGCTAATTTCTAATTTGTGCGTGTAAATACTTGTTAACTTGTTTGGTTTGCAAGTTTCTAAAGTTGAAACAAGTTACTTTTCCTTACCTGCATCTATTATTTCCTTAATCTCTGCTATACCACCTACTTTCCCAAACTTATTTTGTTAAAATAGTTTCACGACACAGTGTTCAACGCAAGTAAGAACCTAACATCTAACCGTTATTTATTGTAGCAGTAAATTATAATACCTTGACTCCTCTTAAAATAATTTCACTCCGTGTAAACACGGAGATATTTACCGAATTGTTTAACATGCAGAATATGATTTATTACCTTCATATTTTACACAATATTTATCTCCCATAAATGTTATTTCTACTATGTAAGATAGGTACGAGAAGGTTTGTGGCATGAAAGGGACAAACAGCGAGATTTAAAATTAAAAAACAATTTTTAATTTACTGCTCAGCAACAAATGGCAGTATTATGTCAAAGGAAGCGTTAGCATTTGATTAAAGTTCAGCTAAATGCAAATTTCTTGGACGTAAAAGAAAAAGTCAATTAAAATTTTAAATTCAAACATCGCTAACACAAAGCTGATGAAACTGCACTAAATGAACGTTCGGGGGCCTACAAAAAATTCGGGAGCATCATAATGTGTATAAAAATACAGCTCTGAGTGTTTTCACTCATAAAAGCCCATATTAATTTTTGTAGCAAGTAATTAGAAAATTTTTTATTTCTAAATTTAATAGATTCATCAAGAACCTAAAATAAACACTATTAGACTATTCTGAACTGTTGAGTTTAGTTAATTAACAAAGTTAAGAGACACTGTTTTAAAAAAGTAGCTTTTTTATGACATAAGATTTTAACATTACGGTTAAACTAATTTCGTTTGATAGGAACGAGTAGCCAGAACTTTCTACAAAGTTATACAGTAATCTGTCATGCAGGGAATATTACACTTAAAATTTTATGCCTGAGTTTACTTATATTAAAATTTTCTCTAAGTTATTGGAAAAGTCAAATCTATGTGAAGATATTTAAAAAGATGAAGGTAAAATATACACTACTCAAGAAAACAAAATTCATAGATGGGCTTTTAAACAATTGAAGGTTTTAATTTATCCTAGAGCAATAACTTTCGGTATACCATTCATATTTAATAGGGTTCAGATCGGGGTTTAGCGTGGGCTTGTTACTTGTGGGTTCCACCCTAAACACATCAAATGGTGACGAGTATTATCATGCATAATACAAATGTTTTCCCAGAATATCGTCCAAATGAAATAAATCAATAATTTACGCCGAAGTTTTTGTTGGGAAATAAAATTTAATTTAGATTTAAACCATTTCGGTCACATTAAGACTTTCAAGTCAAATTTTATCTAAAGCTGGCGGCGGCAGGATCTTGACACCTGTAGAAATCCAGCCCTGTCATCCATCACAYAATTTATCAGATTAACTTTAAAACTGAAAGGAAATAGTTGGCAAACTTTCTCGTTTTATGGGTTTTCAAGTCACTCCAATTCGCGCTAATCTGATTATGGTCGATGGTTGGCGTCAATTTTTTCCAGCAAATGAATCGCTTGCGGTGATAAAATCAATTGCGACGCCATTATTGTCAATTTGTGGAGTTTGCATTTCACTTGGCGATTGTGTATGCATCAGCATTAATGTGACGAAGTGATGCATTTATTGATTCAATGGCCCTAGCCCACTATCGGTTTTTCTAGTCAGCGAGATTTTGCGACGACATATCCATTCCATTAGAGTATCCTAATTTAGGAATGCATGCGCTATGAGAATCTAATACGGAAGAAACTACCACCGGAACGTGATTCTAGGGGCGATTCGCATGGGCGCCGACTCCGCGGGGGTTGCGATAAATAACACCCAGAGTTTATTTATGGCCACAATAATGAGATATGCCCTCAAACTTTTTTGATCAGTTGTCAAACTGGATACAATTTTAAATTTCTATAACATGAGAACTGTTTCTATTCAAGTCTTATCATTAAAGTGTTCCGAGGATGACAGCAGGATTGTTGGTAGAAGGTAGAACTATTATTCAGGACATTTCAATAGGATTTTGGCATTATAGTCTAGTCTCGATGAGTTGGTTGCAAGTTTACTTCGTAGCAATGATAACAGTTTGTTTCCAAGTTTTGTCGACGCAGTCATTTCATTCGAATTCGATTAGTGGATGACTTTGCTAACTACATTGTTGTCYCAGTTAATTACTAAAAAGACTCACTTCTAATTAGTTCTTTAGCCTAATAATTAAATTTCAAGTGAAGTAAAGTTATGCAAGTAAATATACACTTGTGCATTGCGACAGCTTTATTTAAATTTATTGTGTTTGTTGGGGCAAAAATGGTTTTAACTCCATCATTAGCGGCCACTCCAGCCATGGCATGTTTGCAGAATAACGCATAAAAATCAAAGGGGAACGAAATGAAGCTTGACAAGAACCTGCTCAACTCTGATCAAACATCGATCAAGATTCCAACATCCGGTCAAAGTTCAAAGCACTTGAAAGTAGCAACAACTTGTTTACTTCTCGTACATTTTCTCCTCGAACTGTTACAACTTAACATGTTTATGGGGAATTATGCAAATGCAGCCATTTTGTGTGCAATTTTTGCGCTAGTAAAAATACCATAGTGGCATAGTGGTAATTTCGAGTTGGAACTGTTTAAAGTAAAACACTTTCGGTTTCATAAAATTAATCAAGGCACTAGGTTCCATTTCTCCCAAGGCAACACTTTAAAGCATAGGACGAGTCTCTGCAAGATTTGTAGATAATATATGTAAAAACTAAAGTAAGATGTCATGGTGAGGGATTATGCCACCCCTCTGATACTCTCTTAAATTTCGAAACTATACCTGCTTAACATACTTTTGACTTTCATTCCTTGATTTATTTTAGAGATTTTGGAAGGGATTGCTTGTGTAAAAAAGCAAAGAATTTATCTTTATCTCAAAAATTTGACATTTAATTAAAAGATCTTTAGACAAGAATTTGCTTCTTAAATATATTTGAAAGTAATCTGTTTATTTTAGCTGTGATAATTTTTATTCCTTTTGTGTTAAAAAACCACTTTACACGAGGGTTATACGTTAACAAACGGAAAGCTGCAGGGAGCACGTCTGTGAGGAGAATAAATAACAGGTCATCAAAAATCTGTGCTTTTATCTTTCATAAGACGAGGAAAAAATGGGAGTAAAAATGCACGTTTGGATTTTAAAACTTCGCAGCCTCTTTATCAAAATTGTGATTTAGCTGAAAATGAAGATATAAAGAAAAATTATCACTACTGCCGTGTACTATAAACTAAGAATGAAATTTAATTTAAATAACTACTAATAATAAGTAGTTTCCAAATACATTTTTTATGTTCTGTGAACTGCTAAACGTATTATGAAGTATTAATAATTATAGGTAAACTACAAAATGATTGATGTAATTGTACCAGTATTAATTAATGCATAAACACAATTTGTACATTTGTAGTAAAAATCACAAATTTTAGATATTTTTCTTAAAAGTAGTTATCTTGAAATAAAATTTTTGCTAACACATAATATATTATAAATCAGCTCTATTTTATGTACTCAAGGCAGAGATGTTGTGACTAAAACAACTTCAAACGTTTTTCTGCTTTTATTTTTCTTTTGTATTACTTAACATTGTTCTGGTAACTTCTTATTGTCTATTTTGCCACACAGTGTACAATTTTTGCTCACATTTTGTCTTGTTTCAGACCTTACACAGACTAATCATCAGTGAAGTCTTTTCGACTCGGGTAAGTTGGTCTTAGTAAAATCCTTTACGAGCTTGCATAAAATCTGGCTACCCTCTCTTTTTGTTTAGCTTTTCGGACACAGAATCGATTAGATTCATTGTGTGAAGGGTCGAATTGATTCGATTCAGCCTTTTCTGTCAGAAATGCAAAGTATAGGAATAAATGTGTTGTTTTATACGTCCGGCGCGATGCCCTATAAATAAATGAGCGTTCGAATGATTGGGATTCCCATTAATCCCGGTCACGTTTTGGTCTGTTTGTATGTTTCGAAGCCTCGAATGGTGTTAAATTAAGAGCTACATTTATATGTATATAAGGATAATTCGAATTTGTATAATTTCGAGATATACGTGATGATCAAAATACGCTTCATGCCCGATGCCTTAATTTCCTATCAAATCTGTTTTTGAGAGGCTTATCTCATAATTGGCACAGTGTTGCAGCTGCAGACTCCCACTTGAATATTTCGTCGAGTTGAAATTTTTATTAAATTGAGTTTCTAACACGTAACTTGAGCGAACAAGTTAACTGCGTAACACGTGTAAACTTTCCGGATATCCTTGTCATAAAATTGAATTTCTCAATATTTTTCGCTATTGAAAACTTGTTTCATATTTTTGTTTCTCGTTTTTTAATACCGGGATATAAATTATGGACTTTTTCAGAGAATGGAATTTATTACTTTTATTTTTCTTTATTTTTTCAAAGCTTCAGGGAAACCTGAACGGCCTCAAAGTCACAACACAGGCATGTACTTAATTTTGTAAAGTGCCGCTTAAGTTAATCTTTCGGGATTTTGCTTAGGGAAATAAATAAAACCCTAATGGATCCTGAAATGTTTCGTACCTTTAAGAATACATCTTTTTAAATTTATGAACGGGTGGCCGCATGCTGTTGCAATTTCCCATCGAAAGTAATTTAACCAAAGATTAATTTAATAAAATGTATTTTTTATTAATTCTTGAGTCGAATTTTAACTAATTAATTTAAGTAAAAGCCTTGTGTGAGGGCTGAAAGCCTGGAAGAGGTAAAACGTTTGCTTTCGTTGGTGATTAAATAACCCACTTGCAACCATTTTTCTTATTTTCTCATGTAATAGAGATCCGAAAAAGCGAATAATGTTACCCTCGGTCCCTTTATGTGTTCTTTCTGAAAGGGTTTTGTGCATTCTGTGCAAATATCAAGGAGTTTGGTGTTGCTGAACCACATGCTGGTCCCATGAGATGGAAACAGAATAGCAAATTGTCCTCTGTGTTGTGGTAAATTTTCTCTGCTTTCCGGTTTGTGTACGTTTTCGCTTTTTGAAATCACACGATTAGTTCCTTAGTAGAAAACTCAATAAACGAATTAAAATGCGAATATGGAATAAGTTGAAAAAGTAATCGGAAGTTGAGATTTTTCTCGCCGAGCACGTTTTATTTATTTTATTGCTTTAGAATTCAAAGCATAGGAAACTTTACTGATTTGCATTTATGCTATATTAGAGTGTTTGTTACTTTTATTGAAAATTGTGGGAACAAGTTTATAATTCAAACTTTATCTAAATTCAAAAATGAAAAACTGATTCTAAGACATATGTGTCAGGTGATTGATTGATAACTGAGTCTGTAGGTTTGCTTTCAAAGAATAAGGTTAATACAATTACAAAAAAAATCATGCYTATGTATGAATCAGCACTCTACCGAATTTGGTAACAACCCAGAATAGCTTTGCGTTGACTCTTTTTATGTCGATATTTTATTCTGTGTAAAACTTTTATTGTGTATTGCGAGTCGTCGATAAAAAGTTCAAAAACTTTTTAATTAGAATTCTTTAATGTARTAAAAAAATTGGCCGTTGTATTAMCATTGTTGCTGTATCTTTAAAAATCATCTAATAAATGTTTAAAATTTGAATGAATTTACACTTTGTATTCAACTAGAGCCCAACGTTAGGTCTGGTGTACGAATCGGTGATCTCAATGTAACGATAGCAATATTGTTATAGCTTTTCTTGACGTTAAGCTACTTTATCGCTTATATTTTTCAGGGTTTATATATTGATATAGAAAGAACTTTATCTAATATTTTTCCTTTATATCGTAATTCTAAAAAAATTCAGATATTCTGAATTTTGAGGCAACCGATTTCAATCGTCGCAAATTCCGTATGCAAGGATAAAAATTCTCGGATAAAATTGCAACTACATTGTTTGGTAATAGTAAAGTTGCAAAGAAACGGCGACAAACTTCCGACTCCTTTCTATTTTCTSCCAAGCGCGCTAAAGTAAAACATATTGAAATTTAAATTTCAGCTTTGAAGGTTTGTGTATAGTTTGCTCAGGAATTTAAACCAGCCGGAGTTTATTTGAATTGATTAAGAAATAAATAAGAATATTTACATGTAAAATCTCGTTTCCAAGGATTAATTAGACGGATGTTTATCGAAGGATTCTGGTAAAAACACTTTTTTGTTTTACTAAAAGCAATCACTCTTTTACCGTATAATTAAACTGTTAGTCCAAGCACACTTTTGCATGTTAATCTCTAGCTGCCATCGTTTTCACTCGCATTTGAATAATCCGAGAAAACGACGGATTTTTATTTGTATAACTCGAATTATTCAAAAATCTTCAAGAATGTGCCATTTGCATTTTAATGCAGGTTTTAGCTCCGCACCAGAGTGTTTTGTTTGTCAAGAAGATTAAGAGTTTAATCAAAGTTGCATCCTGTACTCCRCCACGAAACGATGGCGTCCTTGCTTCACACACTGCATACAACTGGGATTGCAGAGGCGGCAACCGCAAATTTAGTTAATAAAATTACACCAATTCTAAGCAGCTATCACAATTTTTACTAGTCAATCCAAGTTTACTTGTTTCTTTTTTGCCCGTTTTGAAATTGGAATTGTATAATTTCTTTAAAAAAAAATAAACATATTTTTATTATTTTTAAATGTTTTGTTTCATACACCTTTAATCACTAATTATTGAGTCGGTGTTGAAGCTCATACGCTACTGTTGGCGTTTCCCCTGAAATATTAACTCTGCAATTCAGATTTAGATCAACAGACCATTCTCGGTAGTTATTTTTATACTTCCACGTATTTTTTACGATAGCAGGGCGAAACATTTTATGTATATAAACGTTGAGGCAGTAAACTTGTAAAAAGGAAAGGAAAATGGGCGTAGACCATCGGCATGCAAATAGACGACGCTCATACATCACGGTCTTAGCACGCGTCGCGACGTTGTAAGAGGGGTCAAGAGAGCAGGTCATGGAAAAATGGGGGTCTGAGGGTGGCCAAAAGAGGTCAACTAGAAAAAAGGAGCTCTTCTTGAGGCAGTTTCCACGCAACAGAAAAATTCTATTAACATCAATATTCATCGGACGACAAGAGATCCAATTGAAATAAGTGTCTCGTAAAGGAGACAAACGTCCTAATGAATCAAATTAATGTTTTTAATTTAATTTGACACGTCCAGAACGATTACGTCTTGTTCTAATTACAGACGAAACAGACGAAATAAAGAAACAGCGCGCGATTTTCTCGACGGATTTTCAATGCTTTAACGCACCATAAAACTAATTGAAATTAACTTAAAAGATTTTCAGGTAAAAAAAAGTAAATAGAAACCTTTTCAAACAACTAAAACCCTTTAATATCGATGAATTAACTTATCCTGTTAGAACTTTTAAAAAGCTCCACTCTAAAGTTATTGCGAATTTTGTCTTTGACACAGTGGAATATTCGGGATTAAGTTTGTGCGAGGTCAGTTGGAAAACAAGAGGCAGATAGATATACACCACTAATCCCACCCGCCACGTTTCTATTGTCGACCACAAAGTTGCACAATGCCAGATTAGCATTCATTTAGGACTTGCACTAGAGCTAAAAAAGAAATTAAACAATGAAGGGATTTTGATTCGAGCTTGGTTTTCCTGAAATTTTGGCAGGAAAATTTAATTGTAAATCTGTAAAATAGAACTCTCAGTATCACTGCTTTAATATAATTCTTGGAACAATTTGGGTTAAATAAAAAATGGTTTAATTAAAAAAGCCCTTTTTGAGAATGATAAATTGAAAACATTTAAATGATGCTATTGTGAATTTGAAGTAAAAAAATTTTCACTCAAACTTTTTTTTATAAAAAATAAATTATTTTCAGACTTCAAATACAAAATAATACTAAGACGGATGTATTAAAACATTTTAAGTTGCTGAAAAATCCCATCCCAACAAAAGCGTACAAAATTAAAAGTTTTACGAGCATTTACTTTAAAGTGATTTAGTGAAAAAAATACGAACTATATCTTGGCGTTCATGTGAATTTGTTCGTTCTAATTCTCACATTTTTGCAGTGAGTAATTCGGAATTTCATTAATTACGGGATTAGTGAAGCACGACTCGAGGTATGACAAACTGTCGAGAATAATTATCTTCATATTGCGAGCTTGTCTGGCAAATGTCTTCTAAACCTGAGTTTGAAAAATGAAAGCACATAAAGATAATCGCTTTACAAGGAAATTTAATTCGAAATTCCACGATGTTTGGACCACCTTTCTCTCTTTGCCGAAAATATTTTCTTAAAAACTCACTTTATGGTGTCATTAAGAGTCGCCTTTGTTTTAAATTACGATAACTTTGCCTACTTTTGCATAATCTACTCGTTTGCGGAGACGAAATCTCTTATTGTTGGCATTAGGTGAGTTGTTTAGTTTATTTGAATTGTATGAGAAACAGAATTTGAGAATATAGGAATAGGAGTATTACAGAGGTCTAGTGTAAATACGATACGTAAAAATGAGTAAAAAAGATATAATCCATTACGTTTTATATTCTTGCCGTCACCTTTGGGATGTACAGAGTAAAAGACGTCCGCAGTATTTCAGTTTRAGTGTACTCACTTGGATATTTTATAAAATTCAGGTGCATGCTGTGGTTATCTCCCAGAATTGAAATGTGTAGAACCGGAGGGACCATTAATATCAATAAGAAATAAAGACCCATTTCAGCTGTCGC